TAGCTGCTCGATTAAATTATATCATATAGCGAGAATAAAAAATCGGACACAGAATGCAGAAGTTATTATTCCCATCCTGTTGGGCGAGATAACTTCTAGTCTGGTATCCCGAAGACTCAGGCACTCAGACTTGTTATCAGGTTGTATTTTGCTCAGTTGATTTCCAGCACATATGAACAAGCTATCATCATGTTTAGGAAAGCGCTATACATTTATTGTATGGATACATACATTGGGCATGTGTATATTTAAAAGCATATGTATTTATATAGGTTTGTGGCTTGTTTTTATAAACCATTTCCGAGTCTCGGCAGCTCTTTGTTTGTATTTATATTACTTGCTGGCAAATCATTGGCCAGGCAGCAATCTTATCAAATTTGCTGTCGCAATCTTTTTTGTTTTTTTGATACCTTTTATAGAGCTACATAATGTCAGAACGAAAATTAACAATTTGTCGCTGCTCTCTCCCCACAGCCCCTAACGGCGACAAACAGCTGGGCAGGAATAATAGGCTCGAAGTTTAGCTAGTAGCTAGGAGCAGCCAATAAATGGCCGATGGTAATGTTCAGGCAGCAGGTGCAGCAGCTTCTCGTGCTGGCAACGGCGCCCTCGACGCTCCACAAACCGTAAACAACAGCGCCGGCAATCCCAACCAGCCGGGAACGTCTGCTGCCCCAGCAGCAGCGGGAAGCAGTAGCAGCATCAGTGCGAGTGGGAGTGCGAGTGGAAGTGGGAGTGGCAGCAGCAATGGGAACAGCAATCAAGGATATTATCAGTTAAGCGTGACAAGTGAGTATGAGAAAAACTCTCAGTATGTTGCAAATACAAATTGATGTTCGCTTGCATTTTATAGTTGAGGAGGCTTCGCTGCGCAATAATGGATTTCTAAAACCGAATCCCTATGTGGAGCTGTTGATAGACAGCAAGAGCAAGCGAAAGACGGATTTGGTGAAGAACAGCTATCTGCCAAAATGGAACGAGGAGTTCACAGTGCTGGTGAGTGAGAGGCGAAAAGTCTTTAAGCAAAAGCAAGTTCTTTAATTAAATTTAATTTGAATATACACACGCTCAGATAACGCCCAATTCGACGCTGCACTTCAAGGTGCTGGACCATTCGAGCTTTCGCAAGGATGCAATGCTTGGCGAGCGCGTCATTCAATTGGCGCACATATTGCACCATTACAACGGGCGCTGCGAGTACCTCGAACTGACCATAGATCTGTTTGTGACCTCCAAGTCGGACAACCGACAAACCAAAAGTGGCGAACTGGTGGCTATTCTCAACGGCCTTAAGCTGGACATGAGCAAGGTAGTCCAGCTGCAACAAAATGGCACTGCCGTCCAGGCGGTCAACACTGCGGTGAGCGATGCTGCCGCCGCAGGACGTAGCTGTATGATCTATGGAGGCGTGCGTGCTCGAATGCGTCTGCGCTCCAGCAATGCGGAGCCGCCGGCGGCTACTCGTTCACCACAGTCTAACGGTATATCCTCGGAACAACGACGCTCAGCTGCGCCGCCAGTCTGGGAGCAACAGCAGCAACAGGTTGCACAACCTCAGCAGCCGCTGCGCCTGGCTAATGGCACCGCAGCGGCTGTGCCGCAAACAGCACCTTACCCACAACAACCACCGGCACCAGTGCCGGCACAGCAACGTCCACTGACCCAGGCGCCAGTCTACGCGAATGGGCCGATGGAGAATGGCGCACAGGGAACTTACATGCTGAGCGGAACGCCGGACCAACCAGCATGTGGCACTGGAATACCTGTCAGCAATGGGTCAGATCCGCAGCTGCAGACACAACCAGCGGAAGATGAGCTGTTGCCGGCCGGTTGGGAAATACGGTTGGATCAGTACGGACGTCGCTATTACGTTGATCACAACACGCGTTCGACGTATTGGGAAAAGCCGACACCGTTACCGCCCGGCTGGGAGATACGAAAGGATGTGCGTGGTCGCGTTTACTATGTGGACCACAATACGCGAAAGACCACCTGGCAACGGCCGAACAGCGAGCGACTGATGCACTTCCAGCACTGGCAGGGCCAGCGCGCTCATGTTGTGGCCCAAGGCAATCAGCGGTTCCTCTATTCACAACAGCAGCAGCAACCAACGGCTGTGACAGCGCCAGTAACGCAAGATGACGAAGATGCGCTGGGTCCGCTGCCCGATGGCTGGGAGAAAAAGGTGCAATCCGATAATCGAGTATACTTTGTAAATCACAAGAACCGCACCACCCAATGGGAGGATCCACGTACTCAGGGACAAGAGGTTAGCCTGATTAACGAGGGTCCACTGCCACCGGGCTGGGAAATTCGCTACACGGCTGCTGGGGAGCGCTTTTTTGTTGATCATAACACGCGGCGCACAACCTTCGAAGACCCCCGGCCTGGTGCGCCGAAGGGCGCCAAAGGCGTCTATGGCGTACCGCGCGCTTACGAGCGCAGCTTCCGCTGGAAGCTGTCCCAGTTTCGCTACCTGTGTCAGAGCAATGCGTTGCCCTCGCATATCAAGATCACCGTCACACGGCAGACGCTGTTCGAGGACTCATATCATCAGATTATGCGCCTGCCCGCCTATGAGCTGCGCCGCCGTCTGTACATAATCTTTCGTGGCGAGGAGGGTCTGGACTATGGCGGTGTGTCGCGCGAGTGGTTCTTCTTGCTGTCGCACGAGGTGCTCAATCCCATGTACTGTCTGTTCGAGTACGCAAACAAGAACAACTATAGCCTACAAATCAATCCTGCGTCCTATGTGAACCCGGACCACTTGCAGTACTTTAAGTTCATCGGACGGTTCATTGCCATGGCCCTGTACCATGGTCGTTTTATCTACAGTGGCTTTACGATGCCCTTCTACAAGCGTATGCTGAACAAGAAGCTGACCATCAAGGACATTGAGACCATTGATCCCGAGTTTTACAACTCGCTCATCTGGGTGCGAGACAATAACATTGACGAGTGTGGTCTAGAGCTGTGGTTCAGCGTTGACTTCGAAGTTCTAGGCCAGATAATACACCACGAGCTGAAAGAGAATGGCGAGAAGGAGCGCGTCACTGAGGAGAATAAGGAGGAGTACATAACACTCATGACCGAGTGGCGTATGACGCGGTAATTATTTAATTCCAGCCATTGCCTTCTGTACATTTCTTGATGTTATTTTCTCCATTTCATAATTGTCCAGTGGCATTGAGCAGCAGACCAAGACGTTCCTTGAGGGCTTCAACGAAGTTGTGCCCCTAGAATGGCTCAAGTACTTTGACGAGCGCGAGCTGGAGCTGATACTGTGCGGTATGCAAGACGTAGATGTTGAGGACTGGCAGCGCAACACAATATACAGACATTACAATCGCAATTCCAAGCAAGTTGTCTGGTTTTGGCAGGTGAGAACAACTTATCAATATTTTTTATTAATTCCCTAATCATCCGTCGAAATTCATTTCAGTTTGTACGCGAAACGGACAATGAGAAGCGAGCCCGTCTATTGCAATTTGTAACGGGTACATGTCGAGTTCCGGTCGGTGGCTTTGCGGAGCTGATGGGTTCGAATGGGCCGCAGCGTTTCTGCATCGAGAAGGTGGGCAAGGAGACCTGGCTGCCGCGCTCCCATACGTGCTTCAATCGACTAGACTTGCCGCCTTATAAAAGTTACGATCAGCTGGTGGAAAAATTGACCTTTGCCATTGAGGAGACTGAGGGCTTCTGCCAGGAATGAGTGGTAGTCGATTTGTGGTCAGTTTGTTGATTAATGTTTAATTCCAATTGAGAGCGTCCCGTTGTCGTCCGTTACGTTGATAGTTACTGTTATTATTATACATATACCTACATGCATATATACGTATGTATAACTATAATGTAGACACTATGTTCACATTTCCCTTGTGTGGAATGCATCCTATTCCTGCGTTTGCATAGCTATTTAAAAAGAACTACATACATTTTCTTTAGGCTTATTTGGCTCAATCCTTGCAATCCATGTTAAGTTTCGGCCTATGCTCTATTCACTGATAAAAAAAACAACTGAGATTCACACACACACACACACGCCCGAGCAGAACACATTATGTAGGGTTTGTTGAAAGAAATTAAATTTAAACTTGTTAGTCATTCAAACGGTCCACAAATAAATCAATATATAAATATATATATACATGCAAATACTTCAGTAATAAACAAGGAATGTAAAGTTTTATGTTCTTTTATAGTTTTATATAATGTTGTAAATAATTCAAATTGCTGTTGTCATAATTCAAAATAGAAACAAATAATTATTTGGCCATCAGTTGAATATTGTGAAGTGCAGCTGTTTATGACTGCATAGATAAAGGATTTTAACTTGTAAAGCAATCATTTAGCACATAGCAACACACAAGAAATAAGGAACAACTCTTACAAGAAACTAAACATGTTATATTTCAAAAATTGTAACGGCACACTTAAATACATAAAATAGCAATAATTGTTGTTAACAAATTTAGAGTAAAAATCCAGCTGCTGTAAACTTGGGTATGTTTGCAAACTGAATGCAATTTGAGAACAACTACATAAATGTAGTTGTGTAAGCGAAAGTTATGTAATGAAGGCGTATAAAGTTTATAAATTATATGATTATATATATAAACATTATATATTTAATTAGTTTAATGCAACATGTACTGTATTATATAAAATAAATGCAAAATTATTTAGTGATATGCGAAATTGTCTACCTGAAATTCAGGACCAGAGTCGGTATTTTATGTCGATTTTTATCTGCGCTTTCAAAATGGGAAGATATATTCAAAATAAAGAATAATTCAAATTGCGTATGGTTTAGGAGAATAAATATTTAAGAGTTTTAGTTTCTAGTATTTGCAGTACCTGAGACAATTATGTCATCTCTGGCAGCCTTGAGAGTGCACATACTTGAGTTGGCTTTTAAATAAAACTACAACAGGCAAATACAACAACAATTTAATTCAATTTGAATTAGTTAAAACAACTTGGAAGCAAATTCGATAGGTTTTATTTGAAATATTTATTGACGTTGCGTACTCGATAACATTCGTATATTATCGAATATTTATTTGAATATCTGGCAACGCTGCATGCTGCATGCCCGCTGCGTCCAAATTTTTTTTGGCGTCACTGAGAAAATCGCTGATTGATGCAATATAAATCATGAAAGTGCTGACAGTTCAATAACTGGAAGGATTTCAGTGATGGAGGCCGCCAGTCCCAACATTTATTTGCGGTATGTACTTTTATATATATATAAGTTTGAATATAGATGCAAGATCGTGTTACAGGTGTCTCACAGTCCCACGCACCACTCAGGAACTCTTGGAGTCACCGTTGCACGCGAAGCAACTGCCGAATTCCACATCCAAGAAAAGGCAGCTAACGAGACATCTTCCTGCTCCAACAATAAATATAACAAAATGCGCCAATTTAATGGGCCCAATATCCAAGACCCTTTATTCGGAACCTCGACGCACAAGGGAACTGTTGCAGTCGCCTTTACACACAAACGTTCGTTCGGCATCCGCCTCCAAGTGTCCCGGGACATCTGTGTCGAAATCAAATGAGTTTCTTATGCCTCACAGGGAAAATGGTCGCCTACCGAGGCGTAGGTTGGACTTCAACAAAGATGCCATGATGAAAATGGAGGCGCGCTTTTTGGCCTATATCGAGCAAATAGCTGCATTTAATTCGATCTCAAAGCGGGGCATTCTAAAAATGAACGTGAACGAGCTTGTGCGCATTCTCAGCCATTTGCTGGCGTTTACTGGCGTGCGGCTGCAGCCATTGGGTAAGGAAAATTACATTGAGCAGACGATAAAAGCGATGCAGCTGCTAAAATATCCACACAAAATAAACAAATCTTGTTTATTGGTGCCCAGCGCTTCTGCGCACCATTTGATGCTGATATTGGACTTTCTTTTGGACCTTGCACCGACGGGGAACGAAGTTTTTATATGCGATTTTGATTTTCGTAAGAGCACACATAGTACAAGCGTTACTTTGGATGAATTATCCAGCGTCAAGGACATCGTTACTCTGCAGCAGGATCTACAGAGTACGGAAATGGAACTGGCCGAACAGGCACAACTGACTAATTCAATAGAGCAACAGCTACGCCTCGTGCTCGAGGAAGAAGCCGACCTGCAGAGTCAGCTTAATTTACAACAGCAACAGCTTTATGCGTTGAGCAAGGAGTCTGCACAGCTTGATCAGAGAATGGGTTGCATGTGCATCGAAATATGGCGAAAAAACAATTCCAAAAAAGAATTACAAAACTGCTTGTCTCAACAAAATAGCAGCTACCAAGCGTACGCCCAGATATTAGATGTTTGCAACAATTCACTGCGAGAGCATTGTACTCAACTTGAGGAGCATGCGGAGTGGACGCGCAAGCATCTTAAAAATAATATTGAGGCTTTCAATGCAGTCATGCGTATTTTGTGCTTACATAATCCTCGGGGAGATGACATGCAGAGCTCGCTGGAACTTCCTCTGGCACCGACCCTGACTCAAATACAAGAGCGTCGACGCAAACTTAAAGAGCTACAACGGAATTAAAAGCGCAGGTCGCAAGAGAACCCATATCGGATAAATAAGTAATAATGTATCCAAAGCCAAGTTGACTTTAGTTCGCTTTGTTCTTCTCGATGTTTGCAGTTCAGTCTAATAATGAAGGAACCGCTAACTTAACTTAGTGACTGGCTTAAGGGAGATAACTTCGGCAACTTAAACTTAAACAGCTACCGAATTGAAAGCACAGCTCACATGAGATCCCCTATCGGATAAGTAGGTAATAATATGTCCATACTTGATAATGTATCCATATATTCGTTTCTTTACCTTTGTTATAAATAATTTATATTTATATAATTTTTGATTAATTATTACAATTTAATAACTCGTGTAGGCACTTCAAATGTGAGTTTTAAATTTACATTAAAATTAATGTTAATTATATTATAGGGTAGGGTTAAAGGGAGGTTGCTCCAGGCACTCTTCATTATATCTGCATCTGCAATGCATCTACATATAAAGATAAAGTTCATTAAACTTTTGTGGTGCCGTCAGCTTCATTTCGGCACCTCACAATTATCAAACCAACTGACAGACAAACAAGCTGGGGATGCATCAAAAAAAAGGAGCAACTATTCTAGCTGCTCACATGGCCCTCTTGATTGCCAATCGTATTATCAGTAAATTATATTTGCCCTGAGCTGGTGGCTGGCGTGTTGACCATGTTTACAGCACGCTTGGTCATGTTTGCCCGGTTGGCTAGGAAGCAGTTGTGCCTGGTTCGGTTGGTTTGTGAGCCGCTTTGGCGCTTTTCCGCTGATTTATGCAAACTGTGGCATTTTTCAATTGCGTTTTCACTCCTGCAGCAGGACCTGCTGCTGCTGCTGCCGCTGCTGCAGTTTGTTGCCTTCGCTTGTTTGGGCAAATGTTGCTTTCAAATGGGAAACCCATTGCCACGTTCATTGTTGTTCTGTTAGCTTATGCGCCCCCATTTTCGGGCAGCAGTCTGGATGTACCACCAAGTGGGCAGGAAGCGGCAAACAGGACAAATGTCTGTAGTTTCTCCGCACGAATCGCTAACTGCATTTTATTGTCGCACATGTGTTCGCCTGTTTATGCTTATGTGGATACATGAACATGCGGATCCACGCTGCGCTTTCTACATTTACCGCCAAGTGATAACTTTCACGTGGGTTGCCTTAACAGTTTTTAAAGCCAGCCTTTAAATCACACCATCCATAAAAAGCGGTCCACTTGCAATTGCATAAGAAGTCCACACAATGTAATATGAGTATTTACTTATAAGTCTGACTTAAATTAGATAGAAAAGTTGGCAAATCTAAGATGGGATCGTCTAATACCTGCCTTGCACAGTCAACAGCTCCTAATTGGGCAATTAGCTAAACGGCGTCCATACGCGTCAATCATACGCCCTGTTGCGTTCCATTGGCCCTGCGAGTGCACACACGGCTTTGACTAACTAATATTTTGTTAAACAGCAGACTAAATTAGCACATGGCTGCCTAGAAGAGAACGGCTGCGGTTCACGCAATAATGTTGCTGCATGTGGAAATAACAGATTTATTGGCGCACAATTCAGTGGCACGCTGCTGCGACGATGATGCATGAAGGCGTTGGGTCCTTGAACAAAATATTGCATTCAAGTTACAATTTATGGCACGGATAAGGATGGCAGCCGAGAGGGTCGCTGCAATTGCTGGTTACATTAGGGACAATGGCTGTCAGGCCGATAAACGGAAACGGAAATGCAGCTGTTAAAAACACAACGACTCAAGCTGAAATTGCATGAATTCCTATACATATGCCTGAACTAGCAGGTAAATAAATTTCGGCACTGTTTGAATAGAAATAACTTAAAATAGTTTCAGCTGCTTGCACTTGCCGCATCAAAGCCCGACAGCATCCCGAGACTGAGCTTTAATTACACGAGCATATAATTGTTCTAGCTGCACGTGTGGGGTGCACCTTCAGGGCGAGTGCAAACTTGTGCGCAACAAAGGGACCTGGGACTTTCAAGCGTAAGGGATCGCATTAATAGGCACAGCACCAGGTGCAACGATTCCGTCAGGCCGGGCGCAAGCATGCCAGTGACAGCTTCGGCTGGAGGGATGCCTACAAGGCGCTTACGTATGACTCAAATTCAAATAGATATCACAACTTTGACGTAAACTATAAAAATATACATTACAAATGTACAGAAAACTATATTTGTTCCTTGATTTGTAGGCAAAGTTGTTATTACAGGCATTTTCTTTTTGATTATCCTGGAAATTTTAAATGTGTGTGCATCAACTAAATGACTGACTTATGGGGGGAGGGAGCGGAGTGGCCGCTAGGGGGGAGCACTGACAGTCAGTTGTTGACAGACACTTGGAACGAGCTGATGTGGCACAAGTTTTGCATGCTCGCTGCTTTCTGTGCCACATATTCCACGGCTCAGAGTGTGTCCTTGCAGGTGTGTGTGTCACATTGATTCACAAACTGAATTGTTGTGCTGAGTCTGTGCGGGATTAGTTACGGTCCGTTCGGACATAATGTCGTCTAGGTTAAGTGACAGGTAAATTTAGCAGCATTTCAGGACTGCCATTGTAGGTTGGTTTGCGGTCTTATGTAATGGCTCACAAAATGCAAGCCAGTTGGAAATTAATGTGTGTATTCGTTGTTGGGAAATTGACAGAAATTATTTGTTCGACCCGCACTAAATCATTCCACTCCGCTGGAGTTTCAGATAGTCCAGCATAGTACATTCGAATCTGCAGATTAAAGAGGCCATTTCTGGCAGGGTTTATCCGAAGCGAGAAACTTGACCGACTTCTGCTCTTCGAGGCTTTATGCAGAAGTCAGGGCTAGATGTGCTCGACTAGTGCCTTCTGCTGACTGCCTTCAGGCAGGCAATTCATCAGGACAAAGCGCTAGATATATGTGGCTGAGCTGATTTACAAAGGACTCGTAACATGGCAGGCTAACAATTAAAAACTATAATCAGCCGGGTGGTGTATGAATGGATAACTTTGCGACAGAAACGTTTATTAAATGTATCGTGTTTGTGCCTTGTTGGGCAACAGAAAAGTTTTTAAATCACAGCAACAGACACAAATAATAATTATAATTGGTCATGGAAGCAGATGTTATGAAATGCGAGCTGGTAGGCACAAAAAGAAGGCAGTACCCAGTTAAAAGGGGCGTGTTGCAGGTAATAAAAGGGAGCTGGAGAAGCGGAGAGAGCAAACGAAAAACAATTAAAACTTTTGCCCAAAGTCCAAGCGAAACATATCCAGCTTTACCCAATGCCCAATCAAAGTATAAAAGGTAAAAGCAGGCAGACATTTTTGGACTGTGCCACGACTGAGTTTGATTGATATACACTAGATAGATATATACTAGGAAAAATGACGGACAGCTCCGAGCCGGCTATTATGCAGAGCTTCTATCGGATTCCTCGCTTCTCTGGACTAATACTGGGTATTTGGCCAGAAGACAAGCGTAGTTGGGATAAGAATCTGCTCTACGCATTTGGTTTCCTGGTCATCTTGATTGGTGCATGTGGCGAGAATCTTTACGGCTTTGCTAATCTTGACAACCTAGTTAGCGCTCTGGAGGCCTTCTGTCCCGGCAGCACAAAGGCCGTGTGTGTACTCAAGCTGAGCATATTCTTTATGTACCATCGCCAGTGGTTCGGATTCGTGGAGCGCTTGCGTGGCCTACTGTGCGCCACCAGAAGCGACGAGGCACAACGAATGCTGGTTGGCCTATCCACAATCGCGAATCGCCTCAGTCTACTCTTGGTTAGCTCGGGCTCCATAACCAACACCGCCTTCAATGTCCAGCCGTTGATCATGGGCCTGCTCCGCTGGCTTCGGGAGTTGCCAGGTCAGGTGGAGCTGCCCTTCAACATAATGTGAGTATATATATAATTTGCCTGATTCTTTTCAATATATCCAACATGAATTAACGTTCCAAAATTGGAAACAAAAGACTTTGAGTGTAGAAAATCGAACTAAAAAATAAAAGTGAGCAATATATCAATTTGCATGCTCTCACTGATTAATTGACCTACAGAAACGCAACTCAACTCAGAGCTTATATAAAATATTACGCAGCCATAAAAGTGTTCTTTTGCAATAGTTGGTGTCTTTGGGTCCTAACCGCGAGAGAAGACATTTCAAGACTCAAGCTCCAATTGGAGAGGAGACAGGCTGATTTAGCCAGATGGACTCGGCGGTTGATGCTGAGCAAGATTGTATATACATTCCAAAAATATATAACCACATGCAATAATTAATTAATTAAAAATGGAATTGAACTTGATCCAAGCTAATTAAATTGATATAAATCTGGTTTTCCTTCGATAAAATATAAAATAAATATATAATACTTATATATATTAACTTCGTATATTGTTATATGTAAATTCTTTATTTTTTTGTAATAATCCTGCATTAATATTAAGTTACCATTCACAGACTACCCGACTGGGCCACACAGTCTCCGTTCTTTCCACTCAGCTATTTGCTGCTGACGGCTTCTGGTGCCTGCACGGTCTTCGCCTTCAGCTTTATTGACGGCTTCTTCGTGTGCAGCTGCATGTACATAAGCGGCGTGTTTTGGATAATACAGCAGGATATACGCTCCATTTTCGTTGATCTGGATGAAGGTAGGCGGCAGGTGTATTCGATGGCAATGCTTTTTTTTTTATAATACTTGCGCTCTCACACGAATCCGGGCAGCGGAGTTTTTTACGCCTGCAACAAATGCTGCAATCCGGACCCGGCTGGTCAGTATTATCGATCGCCATAATACGATTATCGATCTCAGCACGGATCTGACGCGCCAGTTCACCGTCATTGTGTTGATGCATTTCCTGTCCGCAGCCTTCGTTCTCTGCTCGACCATTTTGGACATTATGCTGGTAAGGCCACAGTGTCCACTAAAAGTTTACCATTAGCTCATTATTTTTGAGAGGGAAGCTTCTTTTTGTAGGGAAGCTAGAGCTAAAACTAGCTCAGTGCATCGCCCAGTCGAACACTGCCGACTATCTTTATTTTGCCATTATTGACAGCACTTTCACATTTTCCTTTCACGTACAACTCGACCAACTCCGCGGGACCCGTCGGACTCGCCGGACTGGCCCGTTGGCAGAACACCTCCTCGTTCAGCGGCTTAACCTACATCTGCTACACCATTGCCGCCCTGACGCAGCTCTTCCTCTATTGCTACGGCGGCAATCATGTCAGCGAAAGTGTTAGTAATTTGCATATTATAACTAGAGGGTGCCATAATTATGACGACCAGCTGAGTCGCAATTATTTTGTCCGTCCGTCCGTCCGCTGGTCTGGGGGATTACCTTGTCATTAGAACGATCGCTAAAAGCAGAGTCGAATAAACCTCAGGTAAGTATATCTGAAATATGGCACATGTTGCCAAGGATATTTAAACCCAACCGCCTGTTCATAGGCAAGAAAATTGTATCCACAGACAAGTTGCACTTGAGCTAAATTGTAATTATGCGAGAAAGATGCAGCAACAGCCACTCCCCTGCTTGTCCCTCTGCCCCATTAACCTGTCTATTTCCCATAGAGCCTGGCTGTGGCCGACACGCTCTACGATGTTGCGTGGTACAAATGCGATGCGAGGACCAGGAAAATGATTTTAATGATATTGCGACGCTCGCAGCGGGCAAAAACAATTGCGGTGCCGTTTTTTACGCCTTCGCTGCCGGCCTTCAGTTCGGTGAGGCGCGATTATCTGGGAAAGTGTAAAATTGTTTCACTCTGTATTATTTCACTTGCAGATACTTAGCACAACCGGCTCATATATCACGCTGCTGAATACGTTCCTCTAAGCCAGAGGGGCGTATGATTGATGTACGTACGTGGATTGCGAGTCATGTATTCATTTCTATTCTTTCGAGTTATTGTCATAGTTATACCCTGTTCGCAATGTTCGCCATAGAGTGTATTGATATTATCTGTCTGCTCGTATAAACTACATTTTTTGCCTCCAGACACTTTATGAAGCTAGGATATTTGCCAAAACCAACTTGGCGCAGTAGGCAGAGTATCTTATACTGAACTGAAATTAACTTATTTTCGTATTTAAATCCTGAACCCCGTGTAAAAGGTATCTCTTAGTCGGACACACTTCAGCACTCGTACTGGTTATTTATATAGATTTGTGTTTTTTTGGGATTCTTTCGCAACTTAATGCATAGGTCGAGTTTAAATAAAGTATTAAATACAGTTTTGGGTGAACAAGAAATCGGTAGTCTGTCGCTTAAATTTGCATAATGACATTAATTAAATGCACCACAACAGCAGATGAAGCTGAGCAGAGCTGATAATGTCATTAAGGAGCTCAGTGGTCAGTGCCCGGCGCACAGGAGACAGTTGCTGCTGCCAGTCGACAGCAGCTGCTGCATTTTTATTAACGCTAATTAAAATGCATGCTGCGGCAACGAAAGTGTAATCGAAAATGCATTTGTGACGAGCTACAAAATGGAAGCCGCCTCGAACACTTCCGCGTCGTCGGGCAGAGACCTTGCAACCAGTTGCCGTTACAAATAATCAAATTTCCTGCCATGCCAAAAGGCGTCACTTTCCTATTCCACACACATTTCCACCTTGCGGAAAATGCATTTAAAACTGACCTACATATTAAATTGTGTCTCTGGTTTCTATAAAGTCTGCGTACCTTTGTTTGTTTTATTTACCTGTTGTACCTGTTGGATCGGGTTCATTTGGAAAAGTGTTGCACACTTTTCAGCAAATCCAAAAGTTGTATGAGCGAAAGATCCTAATTAAGCCGCGTTTATATCTGTTTGAGTAAAGTAATTCTGGGTAATTCAGAATCCACTCGTCAGTTAATTATTCCATGTCCATGCGCTGCTCGGCGGCATTCCGAAAATTCAGCCAAAAATTGGCAAGGACTGCGCCAGCTTCGTGTCCGTTGCCAGCGGAGACCACCACAAAGGCATCCGCAGCGGCGGAATGCTAAGCTGCAAGTGTGATTCATGGTTTCCGTTCGCGGTGACATCGCGGCCACAGACGACGACAATGGCGACACATCCTCAAAGCTGAAGACGACTGGTGGAACACTGTGGTTATTGTCCTTGTGCATTCCGTTGCAAAGAGACCAAAATAAAAAGGGAAACTGGGGTCTTTATCCGACTCATCTTCTATTCAGCAGCATGTCGTAATTTGACAGTGCGGCTTCAAGCACTTTTCAAATAAACTTAAAACTCGGATTTGTTGTAAATAAACATAGTCGGGAGTGCCGACAATTAGAGATACCCTAATGCGAGCTCAAAGCGTAGCAAGCCCGAAAATATCTACTCAAAATATTCCATAAAAAAGACAGTCGAGTTACATTTTGGCCCCCTGCCCCCAAAAACATTGTTGAATGTGCAGCTCCGAGAAAGAACGTCTGCGTCTGCGTCAGCGTCAGTTTTGGCCTTAACTGCTGATGGATGTCTCTGGGGCAATACATCAAACCAAATTAGCCGTTTGTGGCTCGTGTGCCAGAAAAGCTGAAATGTGAGGCACAAAAGAGATTGAAGGCGGGCTGACAGACGCACAGCTAGACTTCTACTGTCGCTCAGGTGGGTTGGCGCGTTGCACCTTTCCGGAGAGAGGTATGCCTGGGAATCTTCATGGGACATGCAATAAAAGTGCTGGCATAATCCAAAATGGGTAAGCAGAAGCAGCTGCAGTAGCTAAAATAAGCACTCGTCTTATTATGGAAAATGTTCTAGCGTCGCATAAAGCCCACATAAAGGAACCAGGACCAAACAGAAGCCTCAACAGCCACAGAGTGCTATCATCAGTCGACCATTGAAATGGTTCAATTTCACACACGCTTATTCCAAAAAAAAGGAGGATTTTCCAGAACATAAGTTGAGTTGAAGCTACAAAAGAATTGAAGCCCCAAAAAAGACAATTATATTGGCTCGAAAGAACAATTTGTTTGTTTAAATTCGAAAACTAAAGTTCGAGCCGGCTATTAACTTAAAATATCAACCAATAATAAAACATTGATTAGACAATATCCCAAATAATGTATATAGCATGTTCTGGCCAAGTGCGCGTTGAGCAAAAACTGCTTTGCCTACTGCCAGCAGGATTTATGAGCTACTCAAGTCGAGTTGGTCCTTGTCGATGTTTGTCGTATGACTGCGTCTAAATTTGATGCAAGCTCTGCGTGGCGCTAAAAATTAAAGCTAAATGGAGAAAGAGGTGGTTTAGTTGGATAAGAAGATGCCCAAATAATGTGAAGTCGTAGGGAAAATCATTTTATAAGTTGGTGTCAACTGCAGCCCTTGCAGCATACTTGAACATGACCCGGCAGCTCTTGGCCCATTTCTCGGATGAAATTAAGTATCCGACTTCATGAAACAATCCAGGAGTCAATCTAAAACAACTGCCCACAATTTGGAAATCGATGCAAAAACAAAATCAAGAGTCTGCACTTGAATAGAATAAATAACGACACGGTTTGGCCAAGAAACATATATGAGTAAGAGTGCTGTAGTCGACTAAGAGATACCCTAAACATACAAGAACGTTAGCTTATAATTTGCATTTTGTGCATTAGATCTCTTATTGTGCCATAGAGTATTCGTATAATCACATAATCACCATCATTATGATTTATAATAATTAAATAATTATCTATATCCATAAAATTTCAACTCGGCCGAGTCGAACATAATAATACGGACCTATACAAAGTTTACCTTTGAAACGGAGGGTTTTATTGCTGCGAACTGTTCAAACTTATTAGGAATATATATACTTATACTTATATATATCTGTTTGCTTCTCCGCATGTAAACACAAATACAATTTTTCTAAAAGTATGCAATACATTTTTTGTACGCCAATAAAAAGGAAGCAAATTAGCCGTGCACTAAAAGCCAAACAGTTTTAGAGTGCGAGATAGAGAGAGGGGGGTAGAGAAGTCGCACTTACCGCTATAAAGTGGCCAGTGCACTGCTTGCTGTTGTTGCCTTATGCTAAAAACCAGCGTCATTATTGCTGCTGGCGACGCTGACGGCGCGTCGGCGCCGCATTTACGCTGCCTTTGTTATTTCTCTGCATTCTGCGCTGCCAGCGTCGACCGCATTGCCTGTGCTGCATATAACAGCTACGTCGGCGTCGACTGCTGTTGCTGCTGTTATTGGACAGAATTTGATCAATTCCTTAATTTCCCCATTTCTGTTATCGATTTTGACATAAAGGTAAACTGTATAAAACTTTAATTGATAATGTAAAAAACATCATCTTTAAAAGTAATTTTTCATATAGTTGTTATTTCTTCATAAAGAGAACCGGAGATGCCGAACCAAAATATATTCACTGGAAATGTTTTCAGCGAATATAATCATCGAAATGGATAAATCTTAGCCGAATCCCTTGATATCAACACGGCAACAAAAACCCACTTATAAACTTGGGGTTGTCCTTCCTCGCTTTAATTTGGCATCTGCCCATCTGCAACAAATCTGTAAGAAATATTGTTATATAAGTTGATTAGAAAAATACGTGACTCACCAATCGCAACAATCCACTCTGGGATTCCTAGCGTATCCAATGAGCCACTTTATCCTTTTATCCTGGCAGATATTCATCGGAGGACTGGTCGACAACCTTCGCGCAGAGTTCATCTTTTATTGATCCACCAATGATTCTCCTCTAAAAGATATCTTTTTCAATGGAACTATCGGCAACTTGGAGACCCTCCTCTTAAGGTTATCCTTCTCTCAACAGCTTCCGTACTCTAACAGTACCTTCTGCTTCTTAACATATTCAGTTTTGTTTTTTTTTATGTCTTGGGTCTTAAATAAATAAATTTTTGTCAGTTCCCAAATGTGCGTTGCCCGTCAAATTTTCCAATGGATCTTTCACACAAACCTCGTCCTTGCCCCTTTTCTAGATTTTCTTGATTTATGTTGAGCCGAATGTACTGGGATTTCAGTATTATTTGAATAGATACTTTTGAAATAGATTTAAGGCAGATTTTTATGTCTTTATTTCGTACAATTGTTGTCCAGGCTTGATTTTTTCATTATACAAACAGGTGAAATGAAATATGTGATTGCCTACTTCGGCATGAAGTAACATGCCGCAACCCAATTTATCAACCCTCTGATTTATCATATTGGCAAATATTTGATCTTCTTTCGAGGCATTTTCCGGGAATGAGTGCACATAAGAAGCGTTAAATGTATAATATCTATCTGACCAAAAGTTAACTAATATCATAGATAGCAAATTTGGTATGTTTCTATTCACGTACCGATTGGTGTCGGAGCTCTGAGCCACGTTCAAGAAACGTGGAATATTCACACAATTACTGGCCGTAATATTGTTGCAAAAGTTTGTAACCCGCATGGCCACTACGGAGAGTTCTTCGTCCCAACGGAGGTGGCGAAGTTTTACCGCTGATGGCAAATGATTCATTTTCATGTGCATACGATTCCTTAGATTATTATGATGGTCCAGTATGGTAGTCCGATACCTTTCCATGTTGACGCCCTCGCGCGGCTTGGGACAGTTGTCACCCCACTTGCATGAAACAATCGCAATTTGAATATGCGGATCGGGTTCGACGGCGGACAACTTACAAACTCGTTATTACAGCAAATGTGACGTACTCCTTTCGGGCAGAGTCCTTTTTGGCAATAGTCCACTGGCTTGACTGGCGAGTCCATTGATCCGCGCATCACATAGGAGGGGGTCTTGGTCCTATAGAGGGTCAATTTAAATGGATGGGCATATATGCCTATTAAATTGAACTGAATGTGCGCGAGTACAAAAACCAGTCGAATGCGCATCTTGGCAGCGTCTTTCATATACAGCATCGAGAATTCCATTCTCAGCTCTTTTTAACGCAATATGCAATTCGATTCATGTTCCACATACTTAACAATTCAACTAGCCCCAACAGAAAGTGTTATGTGAGCATCAGCGCGTGTAAATTCTAAATATAAGTATTATTATCGAATTTCGACAGAGCCGAATCAAATATCATGCATACAATTTTAAACCTATTTAGATATTGGCAACAGCCACAAGAAACTTTCTCCGACCTCATATATATATAAATATTGATCAATTCTTGATCAGTACGACGAGCTGAATCGATCTATAAAGATCTCTGTGATCGACGCCAGACTTATTGTTGTTGTTGCTGTTGTGATTGATTATATACATTTGGTGGGTTCGGATATAACTCCTTCTGTCCATATTAACTCATTTCCCCTAGCTCGATTCCCGCTCCTAGTTTTCTATATTCACAAACAAATGCTTAAACAAACTGGTACTGGTCTCTTAAGCTGGACTTAAGTTGATCTGTTTCTCATAGATCTGGTTCGGTTTAATTTGCGAGCCGGTTCAAACCCGGCTTGAAGCCTTGATTTAAGTACCTTGTGTTGGCATTGTGCCTGAAGTATGAGTTCGGTAACGTCCTTAAATGCTGCTCGTTGTCGTGCTGCAGCTCGGATTGCAATTTGTGGCTCTGCTTTCTTTTGTTTTATTTTCAAAGCCAGCGACAAATACTTGTGTTTTCAGACACTCGCGACGCCACAGACTTGTCACACTATAAGCCGTTGGACACGTGAAGCACTTCCGAAGCGCCGGCATTCCATTAGGGTACTATGTAGTACTTGTGTACACTTGCCTGCGAGGGCACCCACCGCCAATTGAAACGGCAACTGGACATTTCTATGCCAAGCGGCTGCCGATGCCGGCAACAAGCAGAGGGAGCTTTTGCAGAACGTTCTCAATTCGCCGCAACTCCGACAAATGGTTTATGGTTTTTCTTTGTGTGCAGGGGATGCACATCAGGGGTTGAAACTGTGAACGCACAAAATGTACATGCTAGGGAAATTATGTTAATTTTGGCACGACCGTTAGTTGCTCCCTATGTTACTTAACAGTTATTTACAGAGTTGAGCCATGTTAAAGCTGTTAGCTTGTAAGGCTACAAATATACGAATATTCCATAGCACAACAAGATATACTCAAGAGAATTTCATTATAAATAAATATATAATAATAAACAATAAGGACGAGAGTATCTTCAGGTCGCGCAGTCATGACTAAAGCACTTTTTAATTGTCTGTGGAAGTTGTTTTTTGAAGATCGAAAAACAGTAGGAAACAATTTACAACTATGAAGCTTGACCGCTTAAATTAGGTGAGATGAGCAAAAGGATCCGTTAATGAAAATTGTACGAAACACAAAATATTGTTACATATGTACCATATTTTGGTACATTTGCTGCATACATATTTGGCAGCGACTGTTATTTAGCAGAAACTGTTAGTGAGGTTTGTTCTTGTCCTTCTTGGTATTTATCCATGTTATTATCCATGTTACTTCAACTGTTATCTCGGTTGCTATCAGTGCAACAACGCTATGTAAATCCAGTGTTGTTGCTAATGTTGTTCATAGCAGCTGTTATAACCGTTATGGTTTAGCTAGGATTACAACCTTACAAGTGCTGCTAAAGAACTTGGCTGCTGTGCGTGGCTGTTAATATCGGTTGTACTAAAAATGTTATTTGGCATTTCCTCTATTACTTGCCCCTTTATTTTGACGGATAAGGGGAAAAAAGGACAATAATTTATGTAAAAAGTATTTATATTGCCTTTGGTACAGCTTGGTACTAAATGTTGCTGCAGGTCAAATTATTTTAAGGGTTTATTAAATTAAATGTTATCGAGTTTTGTAGAAATTTTCGACCTTCTATTTTTTAATTCACTGTGCAGTTTTATTCTTTATTTTTTATACCCAAGCAGACTAGCGGAAAGCAGTCTGAAAATCCCAAAAATGGACAATGGATATCGGAAAATTTAAATGTGATGGGCATTTTAATTTTGCCTTGAAAACATCTCCGACCCCAAAAAGTATACTATATACTCTTATTCAAGTAACTTGGAATGGGTCAGTATTTTGTTTAAGGCAGTAAAAACCGGGCGGATAGAAGCATCAAATCGTATAGCTGCTATAGGATCGATATCTTCATTATTTATTAGTTGTACAACATCGGACCTCACTAACTAGATTATAATACCAAAATTATAATGCCAGTTATATTCATTACTTATTCAAACTCTCAATAAAGATTCCACTGAGTGAAGCTAAAAAAAAGACTACTTCTTGGTTCCGGAGCTAGGTTGTTGAGGAGTATCCTTGGTGCGCTTGATCTGCTGGAAAATAGGCATAATTATACGAATTTGGGTATAAACATTCCTTTGGATTACCAGCAGACAGACGTTGGCCGTAGCCTGTGGACTTGGTCGCTCCTTGCGCAACTTGATGTGCTTACTGACAGCTTGGTAGTAGATGCTGCCATCTTTCTCCCGCAGCATAAAGCGTTCCCCGCGGTCGGCGCTGTCCGCCGTGCGCTCCTCCTTGTAGCGCTCCTCGGCGAGGTAGGTCACCAGGCTCTGGCCAGAGGTATGCTGAATCTGCTTGAAGAGCGGCTCGGGCTTTACCTTAAAGTTGATCAAATAGTTGCCGCAGTCCTTGAGCAGCCCGTTGCTATTGCCGCTGGGCGGAATACCAAACTGGACCTGGACGAGTTCGTGCTCATATTGGGCGTAGTTGGCTTCAGGAAAAATGGGCAGCTGGGCGACGGGTCGTGCGGTACTTGCCGACTTTGTGGGATGGCAGCCCAGAGGCTTCTCAATATCAACAAATGTTTGTTGAACGATCTGCTTCTGCTGCTCCAGACTGAAGGACTCGAGCTCCAGATGCTCGGGCTCCGGCTGCAGCCGTTGAAGTCCCGCCCGTGGCCGAGGCACAGCGGTTCGCTCCTTGGCAAATAGCTCACGGCACTCCTGGGCGCGGGTCGGAAAACTATGCAGCGCCTTTGGCTTTTGATTGTTAATGTGCAGCGCCTCGATATCCGCGAGTAAGGCGGCATCCTTGGGGTCCATTTCCATTGGCTCCGCGCTGCTGTGCGCGTAAACACTTGGGTTAACCAGATCGATATCGAACAGCAGCTGCAGCCCCTTAAACTGATAGCTAAACTGGGTTTCCAGCTGCGGAAAGGATACTGGCTCTGTGGTAAAGTCTAGCAAAGTTTTGCCACACGGCAGAAATTTGCAGCCCACAGTCGGGTCGGGCAGCTGGCTCGTGTACGTGATGGGGCAGATAAACTTGTTGCTTTAAAGGGCATTCAGTATGGCCAAAGAATAAAATAATTAATTTGAGCAGCTTTACTCACAGTTTGTCATCCTTTTTCTTTGATTTGTTACCCAATTCCAGCGCAGCCATATTGAGACTAAAACATGCGCAAGTCATAGAGATTCAAATACATAGCTTTGACAAGCAGTGTTGTGTTACGCTGCTTTTATTATACTAACCAGTGTACAACACTGAAATTATATTCGAAAGCCATCTAAATTTTAAGGAGGATCGATAAGATAGGAGATAGAAGAGGAAGAGAAGAGAGAATATACATATTTTTTGGAAGCTCTTGCACTAACAATTTAAGCTAAATTTGGCCAGTCATAAAACTGTGCCCCATTTCGATGCTAGAAAACTCTCAATAGGATGTTAAAAAAAAAAAAGCAAATCTAGTTAGAGTCTACCCAGTGTCGTCTACCACATCAACAGCAGCTCTTTATATATAATCGATTGAAAATTGGGATTCAATATATCTTTACTAAACTCAGCTCCTCTCAGTTCTCCTCAGATATCTGCAAGTCCATCAGGCCATAAGGGCATTATAGCTTCGGTGTGCCAAATATAGTTCGTATTTTTGTTTTTGTAGGTGGAGCTAGATAATTTTGCATACTCTGTTTTAAAAGTAATAAATAGTATATTGGGTCTTGTCCAATATGCGTCTTGAGTCCTTGAGCTCGCTCATAAAATTCATATTTTCCAACAATGTAGAGCGAAGTTCGGCAAATTTGGCAGTCTGACTATCGATGACCTCTTCCAACCTCCAAAATGTACAGAATTATATTTCTTTAAGTGATTTCATTTGAGACTAACAACTTTATCATCTAAATGAAAATGGGAAAATTAAGCTGGGAAAACCTTGAGACTTTAAATTTGATATACAAATTCTATTTGTGGTAAATCGTCCCAATTTAATTATATGGTCTAATATTAATTTTGAGACGTATTTTAACCAATTTTATTGTGTAGGTTGTGTGAGTGAATGCTTGTACCCCGTATTCAGGGTATATCCTAGTCGGGCACGCCCGACTCAAGCGCTCTTGTTTTTTTTTTTCTGATTACTTTGCGGCCACATTTGTTGTGGTCGCCAACGCGCCTAACAATTTGCATTTGCACTTATAAAACGGCGAATGTTGTTCCCATTTACCCACTGAGCTGGTTTCCAGTCGCCAAAAACAAAAGCCCTGCATGCAAATTTACCTGTCCTCGCGCGCACACCACCTGTTTCGAAGCAGGAAGGGAAGGCGAGCTGGTTAGGTGAAGGGGTGTGAATTTATGAATGTGTTGCAAGGTAGCCAGGTAAACTGTTTTAAAGAATAAATGCTGCACCATCTGCTCAGTTTTCCAATTGTCTCCGTGCACCTGCCGGAAACGGAAACGGCGACGACTCGGCGTCGAATGCTGTTTCCGGGCGAGCAGACAAAACAAAATATTTGTTAGCGGAAATCTTGAGCACCTTATATCCGTTATGAGCTTAGTTAACTAATGAGCTAAATGGCAAACGCCTCTTTTCCAAAGAGTTTCAAGTGTTCATTTTATAAGATGTATGCAGATGTCCCACAATCGTGCTAGACCTTTCTTTGGTTCTCAGCCATTTTCAATGAGGTCAAAGGTCATTTATTTATTAGATGAACACCTGATAAAGACACTTCTGCACATCTCGATAAAACGTTCTCTAGAGGAAACAGGAGGCATGGCCGCAACGATGTGTAAGACTTTGTGTACTAAAGTAAGGTAGAATAACAACACCTTGCCGCTGGGTTCAGGTAGTCTCCCAGTCAAGTCCTCTATCAACTTTGGCTATTATATATGTACTTCCATAGCGGCTGCTCTCGAATATACTTATGTATGACACTTGCGTCTGCCAATAAGCCAGTCGTCGTACCATACCAAGCCATGAATTTCAGATGTCACAAACGAGTCTTATTAGAGGTAAGCAACAGATACTAGTCGGAAACGAACGCAAATTGCCAATTATGGCAGAAAACTGCATGCAGTTACTTATTTTTGGCACGAACGAATATTTAATACATGTATTTATTTGCAACATAATTTCTACGTCTCTCCATCTCTCTTCCCCTGCAGTGAAGGCCAAAATAGCTGAAGGATGCGAGTTGTACGTGTCGTTTCCTAAGTGTGCCGTGTTTTTGACTTTGGCCTTAATAAAAGGTAGCTAAATCTAATGTCAAATATAGCTGAAAATAGCTAAATTAGCTTACTGAGCACAAATTGGAACACAAAAGGCAAACGGAGGCATCTTAGTTTCAAGGCCAAGTTGTTGGCTTCGAAAATGCATAAAACATTTTCCTTGTGGAGTGCTTTTGTGGGCTCAATTATAACAATAATAATAACTTCACAGATTCAATCAACTGAACACATTCAACTAGTCCTGCTTTTTTAAATCAGCTTGGCAACTGCCGATTTTAAATGTTTTCATGGCCAAATTTAGCTATAAAATTGCCGAATTGCCATCCCTCGCCTTACAACAATTTATGCTTTTCCCACATGCATAATTTTTACGGCCGATTGAAACACGGCTCCTGATCCCCCAGCTCGATGCTGGGCTTAATAGGGAATCATATTCTTTTTGTTGATTCGAATGCCATTTCATACGCATTAGAACAGCTTAATTTGCCGGCTGGCCTAATGCGTTGTCATCAATTCAGCTAAGTAGTCTTGAGATAGTCGAAAGGATGCTTATTCCTGCGACAATGTTGGGGGGCAGCATGTTTTTTGGCTTGTTGATTGAAATCGAGAAGAGAGAACATCTGAAGCCTATCTGTGCTTAAATTATCAATCATGTTTAATGGGGCTAATTCCTTAACAGGCTGCGTTGCCTTTATAAAGTTTCTATCAATGTATGTAACAAGCAGCAGGAAGCATCTCCGATCCGGAAACGTACTCAATAAAATAGAAATACCTAGCCCAAACCCCTTGGAACTATTGCAAACCGATTTTGTAGACGGAGGTAGCGTAAACATTACAAACAAATTAAAAATTAGCAGGTTTAAATAGATAAAAAAAAGATGGAATTTAAATTGAGCAACAGGTATCTAGTCGAGAATGCCTGACAAGGAATTATCCTGCACTCAGTGCGGATTTAATATCCCAAAGTAAATTTTTTATTATGCTAGAACACGATCAACTATAATGAAACTCGCAAATTACACAGACCGTATGGAAAAAGCGTAGACAGTATTATTTCTTGTCAAATTTGACCACACGCATATCGTCAGCCACCGTTTCCAAGTCCTCCTGGTCCCGACGGAAACGATAGGTGCCAATATCCTTGTGAGCCGACTCCGGTAGCTTTACTTTAATGCCCTTGTACTCGAAGTGCCCCTCTCGCTTCTCGGGCACCACAAGCAAGTTCTCCGCTTTGTATTCATTGTCATTTCCAATTTCAATATGCTGTGAATTATTCTGCACGGTTGGACCCTCTTCGTCCTCATCGTCGGGATGATTCCAACCATCGATCTCGATGGGCACAATCGGCATCCCATCCTTATCTAGGATGCTAGTGCTAGAACCCCCAATGCCACAGCCACCGGAATCAGAACTTAGTGGTTCGGCGATGGCATCTGACTCAACCGCCGGTTCCGGGTTGAACGCAATGTTCACAGGCGATATGGTCGAAAAGGTGGTAAGAAAATTGCGAGTAAACTCCACATCACCTTTGGCCAGATCGCATACATCAATGTCGGTAACCGAAATGCCATTACCCCGGGACTCGGTTGTCATTGTCTTAGATTGAAGCTTCGAGCTGATGACATTGGCCCTTAATGTGTAACTTGAATAAATAATCCTGGACAGGAGGATATTTTTGCGCAACATGCAAAGATTCCGAAACATTTTGAATATATTCTTTTACCACGTCTCTTCCACTGAATAACGAGAAATTATAAGATTACAATTTTACTTCGAAATAGGAGCCCGAGCTCATGTTATGCCGAAAGTAATGACTGATGTGAGAATGTGCTTTAGAACAAGTATCCAACAAGAGAAAGTGCTGTAAATTTCATCGGCTACTTTGAGCCTAAAAACATGAGACAGTTATGGAAAAACCACAACAATTTAAAATGTATATCAATGAAAAATGTAAAGGTTACATTTAATGAAAAAATATATATAACAGTGCCATGGACTAAATATTCTTTCAAGAATATAGCTGGAAAAAGAAATATAAATTTGGTATTTATAATTTTATCTTAAAAGATGCTTTCGTTTCCTAGAACTAAATAATATGGTACACTCCGTTCGACTAAAGAATTGCTGTGGTAAATAGAAACTTGTGAAAGGTTTTAAAAAAAAAAACGAAAAGATTACAATATAGATAACTTGATACTATGGATTGTTCAACTATTGCGATCTGGAGTATATTTGCCGCGGTTATCCACTTAAAGAGGGTATTCTCTGTTTCGACCCATAATCAAGACACATTTTTGATCAGATTCACCTGAGGAATCAACTATTTCTTTTCAAACTAGTCTGTCAGTATGTTTATCGGATCGACCCAATATATCATATAGCTAACCATTGTTAAACCTTGTGTCTCTACAAAGCTTTTTCAAAATTGGAATACCATTAAGCATAGATCGCATATCTGACCTAAGAGTACACGTATTCGAAATGCACCTAAAATCTGCTTTATAACAAGGATCAAGGATATGTAGAATTTGCTAACTGGAGATCGTTATCATATTGTGGATAGTCAACGTCTGCGCTTAGCAACCGTTTTTTTTGCTTCCGAACTTGCTTTGCGCTTTCCAGTGGATTGCGACGGTGATGGCTCGTAATCATTTTGATCCTCCTGTTTGCCGGTGCGCACTTCACGATTCACCTTGTAGGCGGCGCTCATGCGTTTTATGTTTTCCTTGTGGACAATATCGTGATTGACAATTCGATGTGGATAATCAACGCCAAGCACACATCCGTACTCACGCTGAGCGCTAAGTGTTGCTTTCCATGGCTCATAGATACATCCCGCTGGATATTTAGCCAGTTCCGGGACGTATTTCCTTATGTAGGCGCCAGTGGGATCAGTTTTCTTTCCAAATGCTACTGGACTGTAAACACGAAAATATTGATGAAAGAACGCGGAAGCTGAGAGCCACATCCAGTTTCCTGCATTTAATGCCCAGTCCTGGTCAAGAAGCAGCTGCTCAAAGACCCGCTGTCCATCCTCCCAGCTGATCCACAAATCGCCGCGCGTCAAAAAACAAGCAACCGCATGACGCGCCAAGTGATGTATCCAGCCCTCTTGCCGGAGCTGGCGCATTATGGCATCGATAAAGGGATACCCAGTTCGTCCGTGCGTCCAGGCCTCCAGATGATCAGGTTGCTTTTGCCAGGGTATTTGCAGGCAGTAAGCATTGCCCAGCATACGGTCGAAATTGGGATCAGCTGCGGCTACCGTATAGTAAAATTCGCGCCACAGCAGCTGACCGACTAGTGAAACGGGCGGTTTGGAATGCTTTGGCTTCCGCACCAGAATCTCTTTAAGCCGTTCATGCAGCAGCCGCGCGCTAAGGCAGCCGAATTTTAAATATGGACTGAGCACCGTAGTGCTTGGTTCAAGCGAGTTTGGTGCCGTGTTCGGCTTCTCAAAAGCTGCCACCCAATTCTCGTCGATAAGTGATGCTTCCATGCGACGCAGTGCCTCTGTTTCACCTATCAGTTCAGACTTTTTAAACATTGCTACGCTAAGTTATGTTATTTTTGCCTTACCGCCTGGAAATTTGTTCACGCCGAGCTCCTGGGGCCGCTTGACTAACTGATCTAACGTTGGACAGTCATAGACGCATGAATCGACCGCTTCGAATTCATCTGCTATTGGCTTAATTCCATCCGGAAGGCCCTCTGGAACAGCCAGCACTTTGGGCAACTTCAGCTTATCGACAATACCCAAGAACTTCTGGTAGGTAACAGGCGCTTTACCAAGATTTTTGGCTATAACCAGCTCTGGATTATAAATCGTGTGCGAGCAGTGGGTATCCACTTTGACTCCATGTTCCGATGCTATCTTTTGTACCGTCGTATCACGCTGCAGGGCGTACGGTTCAATATCCGATTCAAATGTCAATAGCTGAACGTTCCAACGCTCGAACAGCTCAGGAAAAACATCAACGGGCTTGCCGCGAACAATATACAGGCGCGAATTAAGTTCCTTGAGCTTTTTGTCCAAGTCGACGAGAGATTGTTGAAGAAAACGCCAACGATTGGCGCCCACTTGCATCCAATCCAAGATACCAGGATCTAATATAAATATAGGTCGAACATAGAACTTTTCCGGCGACGCGCGAGCATCATTAAATATTTGTGACAGCGCGGGGTTGTCGTGAACACGAAGTCCCTTGCGGAACCAGTGGACAAGTGTACGACGTTTTGCAGACATCTGAATCCCTTCAATAGCTATTTTTATGTGTTTTAAGCTTTATTTTTGAAAACAGAAAGGAAACGCCACCCGCCTGTTTTTATGGGCTGCCAATCTGCTTGCAGGTTCCAAATAATACTAAATGGTATTCAGTATTCTAGAGATTGCAGGCCGGCAAAAATACCTAATGGTATTCAGTATTCAGAATTGAGTATTCTAGTATTCTGGTGCAGAAGCACCGGTAATCTTATTTTATACAATACATAAAAGAAATATATAAATAATCCAAATGTTGTCATTAGTTTAATAAATTAGCAACCAATAATAGAAAGCCTTGTGTGTTAAGTACAATAAGCAATAATTGGCCTATGCGTTAATGCGCAATCAACGAGCATCGGCAACGTCAAAATGGATCTGCTTGACTCAATACTTAACTCAATGGATGCTCCGCCAACCACAAATGAACAGCAAAAGACGCTGATCAAAAAACAGCGGGAAATGGTGGAGCGGATGCAAAACAAGCAAAAGGAAGAGCTGTTGCGATTTCGAAAGTACGTCGAGGAAAGGATGGGACGATTTGCTAAGGATGATCGCACATACATTGAGTTCCAGCCGTTGGACAAGGTGCATCGCTCAGTTATACACGAAATAGCGGAGAATGGTGGTTTCATAGCAATGAGCTTTGGTCGCGAGGACGAGGACCGGCACTCGGTAGTCTACAAGAAGGAACACCCACCCAGCGAGGACGAGGTAACAGCCCGTCGTAACGGCGAAGGCTGGAGCAAGGACATAGCCAAAGAATACTCTGAGCGGCGGAAAGAGCGCCTGGCCCAGGAGCAAAGTCTGATCGACAAGCAATCCACGTCTGAAGCGGGCTCCAGCGCAGCCCACAGCAGCAGCGCGGACACAAGCGCTGAAGTGAAACCAACCTCCAATTATAAAACAAAATATGCCCACCTTATCGGCGAATCGGCGGCTCTGCAAGCAGCCCGCAAAACAGAAACAAATCAGAGCTACGGCTTTGTGCCCAGCAAGAACAAAAAGGACATGCGCTCCATTGAGCAGACGCTGGCCGACATACAGGCCAAGAAGCGTTTGAAATTGCAACAGCAGCAGCAGGAGCAGGAACAGGAGCAGGAACACGAACTGACAGCGTCACAGGCTGAGAATCACGACGCAGAACAGCGATAAAAATAAGTTTGTGCGGAAAATAGAATTAAGATAATGTATGTATGTTTTGTTAGTTATTCACAGTTAATCTGATGAGAAGTCAGTTTAAATGTTGGGCATACACGAATATGTTCACAAATATGTATCTGAAAGCAATTTAAATTGTTAGCCAGTTAAGAACATTAGCTGCGGATTTTTTAAAAAAGAAGTTATATCAACTGCAGTGTCCAATTAGCAATTTCTATTTATATAATAAAACATAAAATGTTAGTCAATAGCAACAAAACAAAAGTGCTGTTTATTTAATGCCAATTGGAAAAACTAAAAATGACCGAAATAATACTGAAACCCGCCCCACATATAAGTATTTTAAAACGTACTAAAATTTACCAATTTTAGAAGTGAAAACGACACACCACGTGGATGAGGCTCATAGCGAGGTTGGAAACAGCAAAGAAATGTTCATTAAACTAGCTGTTTTTACAATTGAATTTGAATCAATTGAAAATGGGTAAAAAGGCTATAGTGTTTTTAACCTTCAATAATTGACTATAGCAATTACAAGGCAACAAAACACGTGGGAATTGTAAGTATAAATATATTAGAACTAACATGAAACATGTTTTATATGCATATGTAAAAAAGAATAGGCATTCATAAATACAAATGTACATACCTTATATATATTACTCATCATTTTGTTACGTTTTTTCAGATGATGTCTTCCATTTCAATAAAACAAGAAGCGAAGACCTTGCGTGTCTGACAAGTTTGTAAGTTCCGCTCATTTGTGCACATTTGAAATATTCTCCACTTTAATGATGAAAGCTTTGATAGGGACATCTGATGTCTATGATTGATTTATCACTTTTTATATAGAACTGAACTTATCAGCAGATGTCATGATTTATTTAGTTTTTGCAATGCTAAAAAAATTATTTTATTTTAGGAAGACGTCAGCTACTTGGCGGTTTATACTTATACGGCGGCTGTGCCTGGAATATGTGTTGCTCCTAATAAAGTCAGGCAACTTCCAGATGCCAAATGAATCGGAAATCAATGTAAGAATACGCTGAGTCCCACACATATTTAATAAACAATTAGTATGATGATAACTTTGATAGGGACATCTGATGTCTATGATTGATTTATCACTTTTTAACAAAACTGATTCAGCACATTGCTTTTATTATAGTTAACTTAGTTGTTGCCTTTCCTAATACTTTCTGTGTTTTTCTTTAGGAGATCTCGTCCAAAGGGAGTACCGATCTGTTGGTCAAGTAGGAAGGATGCTGCACTCGAATAAAAAGAAACACAAGTAAGCAAATTCATAAAACTCCGACACACGCCTTAACCCGATTAGAATGATGATAACTTTGATAGGGACATCTGATGTCTATGATTGATTTATCACTTTTTATAAAACTGACACAAAATAAAGCATGATTATGATTTACTTCGTTTGTGCAAAGCTAAACAGATTATTTTCTTTCTTTTAGGAGTACGTCACCTATTTGTCGTTCTACCAATGCCGTCTTATGCCTGGACTATATGTAGTTCCTAATAAAGTGAGGCAACTCCCAGATGCTGAATGGATCTGAACTTTTTGTAAGAATATGCTACTATTCCGACACATAATTCATATCCAATTATAATGATGATACTTTTGATAGGGACATCTGATGTCTATGATTGATTTATCACTTTTCATTTGTATAACTGATCCAGCAATAAGCAAACATTTATATTGACCAAGTCTTTGCAATGCCTAATACTTTATTTCTTTATTTTTTAGGAACGCACGTCCAGCGGAGCACCTCAAAGTCGTCGTCCAATTGACCTCTCTCTATTTGTATTGTTTGATTATTTAGATGTGCACTATATTAAGAGTATATATGTTACTAGATGCATTTGTTTTCTTTGAGTCAAATTATGAAAATATAAAGTTTTATTTCTATATTTGAGTTGGGATGAAACCATGCTTTTTGGTGGTCCTGATTACTCGCAATTCATTCAGATGTGTGACCAGAGGCAGCAAAAACGAAAAATCCCGAAAATATATTGATAAATATTTACATATGTCAAATATCGGCTTATATTCGAATATCGCAACTTACCCCACCCCTATCTCGAACTATCGATACTAATTGTAAAAAGGCGCCTCATTTTTACATGCGTATATTATCAACCAAAACCCAATGAAAGTGTTACAGTTAATAGAAATTCCAGGCTTTTTTTTAAATTGTCCGTGTCGGCTTATATGTAGTTTTCAAGCTCTGACAAATTAACAAAAATACAAAAAAACTAACGCGTGCCTAAAAGTAGAAAAGTTTTCACATTAAATAGAAGTCAGAATTTCGGTAAACTCAGCACATGGACCATTAATAAAAAAAACAAATATCATATGGCTGTCAGCTGTTCAAGTGCAACTCTTGCACAGCTGTTTTCAACATTAACTTTGATCAGAATTCACAGATGAAATGGTGACAAGCACTTCTAGCAACTGTTACAAATCGAGCGCCGCGTTACCCACAACGATTGTACGATTGATCCAATGAATCGGAGCAAGTTTCCAAATATGTTGCCTACCAAATCGGACTCACGACGGCGCCTGAATGCCACTGGGGCGTCGACTGGTGCCAGCAGCAAGGCCGCTGAAGGTGCCTCCGAGACGGATGGCTTTGTAAACGAGCAATGGCTACCACCGAATGTGGATGAATCGACACCGTGGAAGACAATCGCCATCATACTCACATTGTTTATCGGGGGAACTGTATGTACACATATGTATGCCGAGTGTCAGTACAAATTGGGATGATCCGTCTTTTCGATCTGTATTTAGATATGCATTTGTTGTGCGGCATTAGATTGGATTGCGGACGTAGGTCAGGACCGATCAGATCGCATCTGGGCCGTTACAATAATTGGCGCGTTGACGATTATTCCCGGCGGGTACTATCTTTACATTCTTTTGTGTATTTTAATGCATCGCAATGGTTACACGATGGATGATATACGTCGATTGGGTTAAAGGTGGCTCCGGAAACTCTGCAAATGTACTTATTAACTATTTTTAAAAAGTTGCCGTCAAAACTGCGCATTTATTTATTGTATAAAAATATTGTAAATACATACATGTTATCAAATTTGTTGTGGTTGACGCGCTCAACTTGAGGATTTAATAAGCGAAACATCTACCTATCAATATTTCACTTTCAGGTTTGAAGCTGTATACATATAGATATATAGATCATACTATTTACATATATTATGGCATTTTCAGCTGTGAAGCATAGTGCGTAGTTTGAGCTTAAATATATATATATATATTTTTCTTTATATATACATATAATGCTTATTAATTTGAAAACAATTGCTTTTCATTTTACAACAACGGTAAGATATTTGTGTTTACACAGATTAACAGCGCTATCTATCATATATCGCATAGAACTACAGGAGGCAGCACATATACAGTACTAGGTATACGTAATACAGAAACAAATACAAGTACAGATACAACAAAATTAAACTAGAAATCATTAACAATTTACTCAATCACGGCTCTACAACAGTCACCTCAATAGGTGGTATAAATTTCCATATATGCGCCTGTTGCTCGTCAAGGCTAGAAGCCGACAGAGTATTTAAATTGGCTGCTGGAGATGACAATGTTTCTAATTGACTTAAGTTGGTAGCTTCTGGACAGGAACGGCTCAAAATACTGCTACTCTGCTGTGGTTTGGTGGCGCACTCAATGCTGGTCTTGAAACGACCAGGCGTAAAAAATATCACAGAGCAATTATGCTGCGATTGCTCGTACTTATCCAAAACAGGGATTGTTATTCTGCAGTATACAAATATTATTTTTTAAATATTGTAGCGAGAGAATATGTTGCCCATACCGGTTAGGTCCAGAAATTGCCACCCGTGTCTCTAGATTGTAGTTTTCTATGCCATTTAAGTAGTCTTGATAGAATTTGATAGTTAATACCAAATTCTTGAGTGGCTGTAAAGATTGATTCGTGAGATTGATGCTAAGTAGTGCTCGCTGCCCAACGGTGCATATTATTTCGCTGTGTGGCTGCACTGGCGTATCCTGGAAGCTTATAGCTTTAAAAAGAAACCAAACATTAAATAAAACGTTGATAGCAAGGCGGTAATTACTTACCCCACTGAAGAGGCGAGATTGTGGTCAAGTCCACCATACTATGGGAGAGAACAATTCCACGTAGCGAAGCAGTGCCTTTAATATCAGTGCCCGTTAGCAGCCAATTAATTTTTACGCGCTCAGCTATGTGAGTTGAGCAAAGCTTGCTGAGTGCCTCGCTGAAGGACAGTATCTGCGTGCGAAAGCACAGCTCTGCGTTTGAAAGAAAGAGTTATTTAAAGACAGATACAATGGGAAAGACATGAATATAGTACCGCGTTCCAGATTCTCAGCAACTTCCGCTGCACGTGCTACACAAATTTGCTCCAATGAGCATCGGTCCACTGGAATAGGTACGCGACAACTTTCTTTGGCCTCGATGAGTATATTCTTGTTGTCAGTGTAATTGAGCGACATTTCTTGAGCGGTTAGGTTAGATATGTCCAAGACTAAGTAGAACTGTGAAGGTCTGCAATGAGTTTCAAAATTAATACAACATACGTTACGGGAAGATCCGTTTACTTATGTACATCTCAGCGGGTAGCACATCCCAGCTAGTTATCTGGGCACTAGGAAGCAGCTCTAAGTTAAAAGACACGGCACATTGACGACAGTATCCGGCAACCAAGGCCTCTCCGCCCGAGTACTTGAGACGAAGTTGCGCCTCTACATGTTGGCTGTTTTGTGCGGCGCGCAAGTTCGAGCCCGCTCCGCCTGGCTGCAGACTCAAAGTAGCCAGCGAATGCTGAGCGCCGGAAAAGGTTGAACGAATACTTATATTCTGCGGATCTTGGCGACGATTCTGTGGCGAGCTGACACGCAAGGGCAGGCTTGCAGACTGGCCGGACATGTTAGAGTACTGCGATAGCGAAGAAGCCCCATATTCAGAAGAGGCACCGGCTGCGCAAGATTGTATTGAGTCGGCTGGCAGGGGACAAACAAAATCAGCATCCGCATAAATGTGTAGTATAAATTCAATAGTGCTTAGCGGAGGCACGGGCAGCTGAGCCTGGAACGTAAGTGCTGTTATCACAGACCATTTTACACGTGTTGTATAAGTTTACCTGCAGAGCCGCTTCATCAATTCGAAACATTTTCTTATGCATATCTTGCTCCACATTTGAATTAATGCTTACTTCGAGGTGTTCCAGCGGCAAAGTGTTGCTCTCGTTCCGGATGGTTATGATGCAACTTGAGGATTCTCCATTGTATAAGGTCAGACTTGCAGATGTAACCACAAGGTCCGCACTGTTCATGTTGCTAAATGTGGCCGACTGTGGAAGCGATGTTTTGATAGTGATACTCGGCAAAGCTGGTATCACATCCAACAGATAGTTAGGCGGAAAGTTGCGTCCCCGCATATGCTTCAGCCGGCAGTTAGACTTAACACCCAACGTATGAGTACTATATCCCTGCAGATCCAACTGGCCAGTTTCAATAGGTGTTCCGTGTAGAGAGACATTCGTGGGCACATGCGGCTGCAAAACAATTGTCTGCGGCAACGATTCAAAGACTACTCCATTTGTAAGCAGACGCATGTCGGTGACGGCCAGCTCAAAGGGCAATGGATTGCGAAGGGTAACGCATACCTCACAAAGATCGTTTTGCACCCATAAAAAGTCTGTAAAAGAAGCAAACTATAAATAAGTCTATTTGGATTAAGGTACCATTATTACGCATGCCTATTTTGTTTTTGTCCTTTTTCTTATCCCGGCGATCAACAGAATTAAAGTGTATAGGTGTGAACAGAAATGGGCCATTGTCGGCTTTGGCGATCTTGATTCGCAGCGGGCGCAAGTGGGCAGGTAAATCTCTTGCTACCACCTGCGTGCAGTATGGTAGATCCGTGAGATTGGCGGGCGGTATCACAGTCCCATTTTCTAGCACAAGCGGCACAGGCGAGCCTTCACATTGCGCACTCAGATTCTACATCAAAGAGAAAATGTAAAAGATATTTATTAGAGGACAAACAAATTAGTTTCGTTTTAGTTATGTTGCTCAAAATTAATTAAAATTATCATAGCAACATCATAAAATCGAACTTTAACAAAATGCATCTCAAAATCCACACCTGCAACTGTACAGCCATTTCACTTTGCTCCGTAGCAGACATATTGTCCCATTGTGTTTGAAGCAGATACGTCATGTGGCGAGTAGCCAAAGCAGAGTGTCCCAGACGTCTCGCTGCAGATATAAGACTCTGTACAAGATCTATTTGCAGTGCCGGCCAACCAGCTGCATTCTCCAGCACTTCCAGAGGATCCAGCGATAGCAGATAGCCAGTAAAACTGCCCAGCATTAGACGATAGCTCTGAGTCCAGTCTGGTGTTTGAGTACCCTGTTGAACATGCTTTAGCGCAGCCAGGCGCTGAAAAAAGGCAGCCTTACGCTGGTATCCGATCTGCTGATACAGCTCCGTGATCACTTCGAATCGCTTGACGCGCTCCGACTCGCTCATACTGAGGTTTATGTAAAGAATGTTTTGAAGAAACATGGCCACATCCAGCGGCCGATTCTGCTCAATACAAATGCGCGTAGCCTTCAGAGCAGCCTCTGTCTCAATGGTTGCAGCATGGCGGTACTTGCTATAGTTAATTATCGCCTTCCGATAATAGTTGGTTATTTCCTCGGGCTTGAGTATATTCCCGGGCAGCTCGCCATTACGCTGACCATGCGGTGCTACCGATATTGTCGATGTCGAGGAAGAGGATGTTGAGGTTGTGGGCGTGCCCGATGCTGAGGAATTGTTGGTCAAAAGAGATGACACCGATGAGCAGGAAGAAGAGTGTGAGGTAAGAGCCTCTGCGCAGTTTGCTGAAGCCGCGGTCGTGGTTCCTGTCATCACGGCGGCCGTATTTATTTTCTTAGTCGCATCGCTGGCACGCCACTTCTCCGGTGTGTTCCGTAGTGGTGAAGTACCTAAAATTTGTTGAGATATTAGCATACAACATAATAAAAAAGTAAATCAAGTCCAAAATAAGCATGCCTGTTTCCTGCAGAGATGCGTTCCTGTGCAGCGTTTCGATCTCCCTCATTTGTGGATACAGAAAAACAGCCGAGGCCGCGCATAATCCTTCTTCGCTCGCGCCCACCCACAGGGAATCGCCAACTGAGCGCAGTGTCTCGTTGGCATTGTGATACAAGCTTAGTGCATCGTCCAAGAGACCAGCCTGCAAGGACAGATCCGCCAAGTTCTTCATCACACGGCCCACACAGCGCTTGCGATTGTTGCGCGAATCCATGTCCAAGCCCACAAAGTCGCGTTTCTCAAAGGGCGCCAGCAACAGACTGACCTTGTCGGCTTTCTCACGCGAACGTTCAAGGCGTCGCGACTCCAGCACCCAAAAGAGAGCGCTCAAAAAATCACCGATACGTGCTTCCAGATCCATACCGGCATCCTGCTCCCGATAAAAAAATGCCTGCGACTTAAAATTGGACGGCGTGGTGTACTCATCCTGAAGGCGGCCAGGAAGCTGGGGCTGCTCTTCCTTAATTACTACATCTGCGTTTGCGGTGTGTTCACCAATTGTTTGTAGCACAGGCTGACCATTGACCACAGTTGTCGTGCTTGAAGTGTGCTTTGTGTCTGCGTCGGGTCCAAAGAATATGGCACGTGACTCGTATAGCGTGCTGCCATAGCGCACTTTAAGGGATTCGTGGTGTCGGCACAGCTCGTTAAGCTCCGTTTGGTTGTCAAACTTTCCAATTGTTATGAGGCCGAGCAGGCGACGATGCGTTTGAAAGTCGCCCCAATCGTTGTGCTCCACGGGATGATCATGTATGAAGCGAAAATAAATGGTACGCACAGTGCCGCTAGAATCTAGACGAGAATTTAAAACATTATCAAATGTCTCACTTCTATTTATATATATATAGTTTCAGTAGAGTTACCCGTTACTTTGATATTATTGACACGTCGCACCTTCTCAAAGGCCCGCTGCAAAATGCGGGCGCGTGAAGGCCCCACACCGCGCAGCAGCACCAGCAAGCAGCTATGGTGGAGAGCATTCTGCTCGTAATCAAGACGTGACATAACTGGCTCCACGCTAGCATGGGACTGCACAAGTCCAACTGCGGCACGCATTTGCAACTCTTACTGTTCCACCTGTTCCAGTTCTAGGGTCTACGACTTGCAATTGCTCTTCACATTTCCACTAACACTTCGTACAAGCCGATAGGTGTTGCTGCTTTTATTGTGTGCAACTGACGTTGACATTGACGTGCCTCAATTGATTTCCATTGTGTCGTATTTAGATGTGAAAAACTTCGTAGTAAGCGATAACATCGGATCGCCTCCCCCTTTTATGATGCTGTTACTTTTACTCTGCCCCTGTAATGCTTACGACAATCCTCAACATTCACTCGGTTCTGTACGTGTACGTAGCAGCATGAGATTGCACAAAAAGGGGTAAATCAATTATGTCAATGCCCACGAATCCAACAGAAACAAAACGCAAGTTAACTTTAACAAGCAAAAAATCAGTTTTCAGCTGTGTGCTATTCGCAGTGAATGGCAAAATCAAAAATTGCATATGCATGCGAATGGCTAAAGCTGCTTACATTTACAGAAAACTCCTCCTTCTGTTGACATTAAATACCACAATTAGCGGTACTGCCTACTTTCATTTTTATTGTTGATTTACTTCTATTAACTGGCTTGGATTAGTTGTGACAGGGCAACAATATTCTTACTTAAACGCACTTTAAGGCATCGCATAGAAACTTTCGGCTTATATTCATTATGATTGTAGGTATATGAGTTTTTTCGCTCCAGTCTACTATAGAATTACGATATTCAACTCGAAATGTTATCGATATTCGCGTTGTAAGATCGTGAAGCTTTATTTGTTACTTATTTTATTTACACAAGAAGCAATTTTTTCCGATAGAAAATTTAAGTCTAGTTCAAATTATTTCATAGTAATTTACCTGGCGATATAAACAAACCAATTACTCAAATAAACTTTACTCTCTGCTACGTGACGTCACAATTATGTGGCAAAATTTAGTACATTTTTTAATAACATTGAAGTAGCACCAATTGCGCGGTAAACAACAAACGTGCTCGTTGTTGACTACAATTTATTTGCTAAGAACAAACAATGAATTTGTTGCCAAGAACGCGAGAGGAGTTTGCCCAAACGGACTACTGGAATGAGTTTTTCAAAAAACGAGGTGAAAAGGCGTTTGAATGGTAATTGCACGCATGTACTGAACCCATCATGCACCGTATGCCGGTCATTGCGTGTTTAGCACATGAGGAGGAAGAGGCTTGGTGATAAATATTTTAATTGCAATTATTAAGTATTTCAGGTATGGCGAGTATTTGGAACTATGCGATCAGATACACAAGTATATAAAGCCCGCCGACAAAATTCTGATGCTTGGTTGCGGCAACTCAAAACTCAGCATGGACATGTACGACACGGGATTTCGGGATATAACGAACATTGACATCTCTCCTGTTGCTGTAAAAAAAATGATAGAACTGAACGCGAAAACACGGCCGGACATGAAGTTCATTCAGATGGACGCAACGGATATGTCATTTTCAGATGAGAGCTTCTCCGTGGCTTTGGATAAGGGCACACTAGATGCCATATTTGTGAACGATGCCGAGGACACCAAACATATTGTAGATCGTTATTTTGCAGAAATATTGCGCACAATGCGGTATGTCTACGTGGCCAGATCAATAATTGTGGTGTATTAGTAATGCTCTCCTCTTTAATTGCAGAAATGGCGGTCGGTACGTTGGTATATCCATGTTGCAGGAGCACATCCTTGACTATCTGCTGGAGTTCTTGCCTCGTAACAATTGCATGCTGCGCATTGTGCACTGTCTGGATGTGGAACGTGCCAACAAGGAAAGAAATGCCGAGGAATCACTAACGCTACCTGTTTTTGTTATAATTGCCACCAAGTTTAAGAGCTTGCCTATGCCGGTGAGTAACTGCCTCAGATTGCCACGATACTTTTGCATAATTTAACAACTTATAGATCCTCGAGTTTGGAATCGGTAACGACAAAATGCAACGCTTCAGTTGTGCGGCCGACCTCACCAATGCTGTGGCCTCTGTGCAGAAAGCAGCGCTGGTCTGCAATGGATTGGCACGCTCAAGTATTGTTGGCCATAATGAAGTCACCATGGACCTGCATCGCGCTGCAGAGTCAACGCCTCGATACACGGTTCATGTCATGGATCAACTGCCATCGCGAGGTCTTGGCAAATATGCCGCCTTTATTGTGCCTCAGGGACGAGAAACCGAGTGGCTTTTTGCAACAACAGCAGGTAGAAAAAAACTGCAGGCATCCGCCAAGTTTCAGCGACTGGCTGTTGTGACATTGCATCGCGATCAGGTTTATAGCACGCTGGAAGAGGTGAAGAGCGAACTGGCTTATAGCATTACGAATCTCGCGCCTGCAGGTCTGAAAGAACAGATTCCCTACTTATCTTTGGGCTCTGAAGTAGGAAAGCGGGAGACGTTGATTTCTGGATTCTCTAAATTATCCGGCGACTTTCGCATTGAAGAAGTGGAAATCGATGGTAAGACACTTCGTCGTCTGATATTCCTTAAAAATCAGTTTGTGGTGCAATCAGAAGCTTTGGTGAAAACAGGTAAGAATTGAAATTTGTGGCGATCTATAAATATATGTGTACTTATAAACTTTTTTTTAGTTAAAATCAAAGGGAAAAAGGATCGTAAAAAAATAGACTTTGGTTACTTGGCATGCCATCATCATCTCTTCATGTCTGTGGGCGTGCAGCTGGCCGCGACTATGCAGGGCCCGAAAAAAGATATACAAAGCGACGTGCTGGTCATTGGGCTGGGCGGCGGTGGGCTGTGCAGTTTCCTACATGCCGCATTTCCGTAATTCTTATCTATTATTTGTTTTCTCCCAAACTGAATCAATTTTCGTTGCAGTCAAACGCGTATTACGGCTGTAGAAATAGATCCCATAATGCTGGAAGTAGCTGAGCAATATTTTGAGCTCAAGCAAGACGACCGTCTTCATGTGGTCATTGATGATGGCCTCGCTTTTGTAGAGCGCTGTTGCAATGAAGGTACGAAAGCCGTTTATTATCGTTTGGAACTACTTTACTACATTAAATTTTGCAGGCATACATTTCGCGGCAGTGCTTTTCGATGTAGATAGTAAGGATCTGTCCCTGGGCATGAGCTGTCCGCCCAAAAGTTTTCTTGCCCACAAGATACTTATGTACATAAAGGAGATCATTGGGCCCAATGGCCTCTTCATGTTAAATCTGGTGTGTCGAGATGAATCGTTGCGCGAGGAGGCGATGGGCGATCTGCAGCGAGAGTTTGCATCTGTTTGTAGCTATAAACTGGACGAAGATATCAATGAGGTTGTTTTCTGTGCAAACGATGAAAAGTACAAAACAGTCGAGCAATGGAAGAAGCACATGGGTACAGCCGGACGTCACCTGAACAGTGCTATTAGGGATCAGAAATTGGCTAACAAAGATGCGCTCGATGTTGCGGACTTTTTGAGAGAATTGAAAATATAAAAATTAATTTTGTAGTGATTTTATAAATAAATGTTATCTGCTTTTACTTTAAATAAACGTACGATTTATAATTATTTCAATATGTAATGGCTGTAATAAGGCTAATAACAAACTAATACAGCGACAATTTGCAATGCTTATAAACTAAATACTTTTATTAGCGCTGGGCAAGAGCAAAAAAGGCTTGGAATATTAAGTGAAAGCAAGTACTTTCATTATTGTAGATTTCCATTGTTTAAATGTATATACAAGCAGCGAGCATATAAATTACAATTAAAAATCAAATGAAGGTATAACTAATTTGATTTGACAGTCATTTGCATATTACTGCAACACTAAGGAACTCTTGAGAGAAACGAATTGAATCTTTTGACCGGTATTTTACAAAACTGGAGTGTTTCATTCACACAAAATTTTTAATTATCCACGTAAGATAACATCAGTCCAATTGATGCCGTTGGTAGACAAACCTAACTGAACACAATTGAGGGAACAATTTAATAAGTAAAACATTTAAATAGTCGGCAAACGTCGTCTTCTTCAAAAGACTTTTCGAAATATATTATTGAAAGCACGCTGCTTCTTTTTCGTTGTGGAGGAGGTGGTACTGGCGCCACTACTACTGCTGCTGCCGGCGGCAACAGCGCTGTCCTTGCCGCTGGGCCTACTCTCGCCAGAGGAGAGTATGGCCTCGCCTAGTATGCGAAAGGAGTTTTGCGTTGAGTTAAAAGGAAAGTTGATTTCCGACAGAGATGAATTGTCCAGGCTCGCATTGGGCGTAGAAGAGATTGATACACTCGGCACTGACAACTGCTTTGACTGCTTTTCGCTTCGCCTTAGGCGATACCATTCCCAAGAAGTCGCCTCATGCGCCGACTGGCTGCCCTTTACGCCACCCATGCCGTTCAGACTGCCTCCTTTGTTTTTATTTTTGCTAAACGGCGACTTAAAGAACGCTGGCGACGAAACGCGTCGACACTTTTTCACTGTCTGACCCTTGTCAGCCTTTCCATCGACTGTGTCTAGGATCTGGTAGCCTGACGGGCCTTCAGGCATAAATTCATTGTAAGCCAAATCAGTGTTGGGTATGAAGTTGCACAGATCTTCGTCGTCCAGTATGAGACTCTCATCAAAGTCGCTCTGCGTAGGCTCCTCAGTTAGACTGTTTTCTGTATAGCTGGCAGGTGCCGACTCCTGGCGTTTCAGCTCCTGTTGGAACTGTTGCAGCGATTTCCTTTTGGCGGACTTATTTTGCATCTTATTGCTCTTGAGAGTGTCTGCAACAAATTGATAAATGCATATAGCATAAGTTGCCATTGTCACAGGTTTAATCGGTCCACTTACCCACATCGAAGAACTTGTCGGGATTCTCACCGCACGTCACTTGCGCCGAATCTAAGCTAGCGTGCCAGGAATGCTTTGCACCTTTCCGCCTGTGCAGCGAAGGTCTTGTGTTGCTCATGTGGTTGGCAATGTTGTTGTTGCTCCCATAGCAGACTGATATCTTACGCTGCCTGCCGTTGCCGTTGCCAGCGTCGGACTGTACCGTCAGGGACGAGTCTCCGCAGCCATTTAGTATAAGCATGGCTTCCTCGCTAGGCCTCCGCTGCTTGCCGGGCGACTGCTGCGTCATTTGCTCATATGACTTGCGACGGCTGAGCTTTTGCTGGCTATTATCCGTCGTTGCCTGCGGAAGCAACTGTTGGGTTTGGCGCCGCAGCTTGCGATAGTAGACAGTTCCCAGCACTAGCATCAGAAAGATGCACGTGCCCACTATGATGATGACGAGGATGCAGGCCTGCACTTGGTATGTGAGCGCACGCACTTCGCCGGCCAGCTCGGCGCTTTGTTGCTTATAGAGTTGTTCCTGGTCAATAAATCGTCGGCTCTGATCCTCCAGAGTGCGCACTGTGAGCGACTGTTGTGTAAGCGTCTGCTGCAACTCCTCCACCTGCTTTTTATAACGACGCGACAGCTCCTCCAAATACTGCCCCGACAGCGACATATTACGTTCAAGCGCCTGCAAAAGACAGAATTGGATAACAACATTAAACAACGCCCGGCTGCTTGGCGACTTTGACGTCATTGTTGATGTAGCCAAACAGTGGCCATGACAAGGCCACCTTTGCAAATAGGTGAAACAAAGCTTTAACTGGAATAACGTAATAGGGGTGTGTCCAGGTGTAATAGCAGCTAACCGTAATACGTCTACAACATGCGAGGCTGGCACATGCACGCTACGGAAGCGGGCGGGAACTAACGAAGTTTCTATGTCCTTACTGACATCCGCGTTGGGTAGATTTCTGTGAAACCCCAATATAAACAAGTCAGAGAGCCCGATTGCGAGTTATCCAACCCTAACCCAAGCTCCCCTTACAATCAATATAACTTCCTTATATACATACGCATAATGCTTGATGCGCTGCCTAAGTAAATTTGTTCTTGCATATCTTCTTCGGTGCTTTTAGTCCGATCTGTTTAAACATTTAATGAACAATCTAAATATGGCTGCATAATGTTTGCAACTAAACAGCAAATTTTTTTTTAATTTAGAAATGATGGTGGTATTAAAATAGAGAGCAACTTCATGGTAAGACTTTTAAATGCAGCTCCTATAATTTCTAAATTTATGCTATGGGCTTAAAAACAAAAAAGGAACAGAAGATTTTAAAATATATTTGCGTATGGTATAGGCAATTATTATATATTTAAAAAATTAGGATTTCTAAGTCAACCCGATCTGTCATTACGACACGGCTAAATAAACTCATCTCAGTTCAGACCGAAAATGTATATTCCTTAATATTGGTTATTTATATTCATCGTGTCTGGGAAACTATTCTTAAAATGGTTTTCTTTCTTTTACCTGAGACTTGCCTCAACCTGATTTTTACAGACTGTTACGAACATTAATTTAAGACGTGTCGCAGTGATTACTGAAAATCGACTGGAAAGCAAGGGTGCCAAGTGCAACCAAGGTAATTGCCACTCACCTTAATGCGATTCGATAGCCTTATAAAAACGCTCTCCGATTGCGGTCCGTGCGTTAATTTTGGCTGTAAATTTAGGCTGCCCGCATTGCCGGCATTGGCAGTGCCTCCGATGTTTGCATTGCCATTGACCACGGCCGCGGCAGCCGCAGCGGCACCGCCACCTGCCGTTATTGATGCAACCGTTGTAGTCAGCAGGCTGTCGATGCTCTCCCAGTTGGACAGATTGCTGTCATCCAGTCCGTTGCCGCTGCCTAAAAGATCTGCACTGTCCGATTCGCTCGAGCTTGTTGGTGGGTGGCTAGTGGTCGGGCCAGTAGGCGTTTTGGAGGCCTCCACTTCGTTGGGGTCAACTTGAGATGCCGGCGTAGCCGTCGGCGTGTCGGGAACAATGGGCACTGAGCCTTGTGTTGGGTTTTTCTGGGTGTCAGTGGGTACGTTAAATATATTCACGTCAGATGGTGTAGCCGCTATTGTGGAGCTGTCTGTTGGCTGTGGATCCAGTGGGGCATCGGTTGCAGACTTTTCGCTTGCCGTGGACATCTCGGCAGACACTACTTCCAAGGTGGGTGTGACGGCAGGCAAGGAATCATTAGGTGCGGTAACTTTAGCCTCTGATTTCGGCTCTTTTGACGAATCAGCTATGGTCAGATTTTCGTATAAATGCTGTGCTACATCGAGGTTACGCTGCCGCTCAGCCTCCGGCAATTCAACCGGATACTCGACGACGCTGCTGTGCTCCGCCTGTAGAAGCTTGCACATGGCACCCACATGCTCTGCAGGCAACATGCTCAGATAGAAGCTTTGGCGCTTGTCCATTCCGCTTGTCGCGCGCTCCTCTTCCCTGAACAGGAGGGAAGCCAGGCTGATGTTATAGTCTGCTTGACAAACGCGAGATTGCAGCAGGTGGGTTCGCAGCTGCGGCAGCAGGAGTAACTGCTGCAGCTGGTGCGACTGACAGGACAGAAGATTGTTAATGCGATCCACGGCAGAGCTGTTGCAGCTCTGGCAGCTGTAAAGGCCAGCAGTGGGTGTGAAACAGAGCAGCGAATCGGTGGACCAGCGTAGCGGCTTGGATGGCTTAACCAGCACCTGGGCAGCCTTTTTGACCATCTGGATGACCGCGTCGGAGGCGCTTTGAAATATGTTGGCACCGCCGCCATCAGTGCCGGAAAGTGTCTTGTGCAACTGTTCCTGCCCTCCAAAGTCATCGTCAAAGTCGTCCAGTTCATCGCTGTGCCGGATCTCTGTTTCGAACGCCTCGAACTCGGATGTGCCGAACACACGGAAAAGCGAAATGGGACAGAAGTGTTCCTTGGAATAGTGCGAATGTATGTCCACGCGTACAAATTTCCCAAACAGATGCGGATGTAGCTCGAACGTTTGCACCGTGCGCTTGTCCTCCGCCACAAAGCGGCCCACGTTGCTCCAGTCGCGAGTGGGAAACCGTTTGGACACGGCAACTGTAAAGTTTTTTGGCGACGAGCTAAAGAGCTCAAAGTTGGCCAGCTCCACTTTTTGCGCCTGCACGGCCTCGCATAGCTCCACCACGAACCAGATGCGACTGCCGCAAGTGCTGAGCATATATTCGTCACTCGAGTGGCTCAGCACAGCTCCCGTGTTGGTGGCATCTGCATTCGAGGCAATTATCTTGGCGCCGCAGTCGGGCGATGCATAATTCTTGGCGCGTAACTTTAGCGACGGCGGCTTGCCGCTTCCCGAGCCGGTGGCATTTCGACGCTGCGCCGAATTGTTGACAACCTGTTGCTCCAGCTCCATGGCCTGCTCACGACTCGCCTCTGCCTCTATTTGCTTTTGCGCCCACTCCGAGAAGACGGGCATGGGCACTTCCTCGACAGTCTCATTGCTGCTTGCGGCTGCCGCAGCATTTGCGATCTGGCCTCCTTCGCTGGTTACATTGCCATCCACGGTAGCATTCGATTCGGAGCTGGCGAACGCATGGAGCTCCAATCCTCCGCCCGGATCGTTGATGTTCAGTTCAGCTACAAATATTAAGAACTCATTAAAATTCAACACGTTTTCGATAATGCTCAATGGCTACGCACCTTTCTGCGCTGCTTCCTTGGCAATTTCAAACGCCTGACTTGGCGGCTGCTGACTCTCGGTTTTGTTACCCGAACTGTGCGCCGCCTCGTGCGGCAAGACTGACTCCAAGCGATCTTTCACATGCTCAACCTCCAGGGGCAGCTCCGCCACGGTTACGGCGGGCAGCTCGGTAATTATTTCGGGCAAGCTGGAAAGAGACGCAATTATTGCATTTGTTTACAAATGAGTCAGGAACTTGCCACAGTAATATGATGATTTTATAAATGTCTATGTAGCTTATTGTCTCACCTCATGAACACTGTCGATATGGCAATGATTTGAGAAAACCATAAAATCCAAAAGAACATTAAAAACATGGTTATGTTCGTTCTTAGCTTCTTCAACTCATTACTTAAGAACTTTACAATGTATTGTAGCAGCATTTTGTTGCCAGCACTTTAAGTAGTTCTACATGCATTTTGTTGTTTAATAAATAATTAAGAAGCGTCATATTTTTGCACTGATTTGACCATCAGCCACACCTGTCAGCCCAACAACACCTACTAACTAGCCGAATACTCTCAGATCAAAATGGAACAACGACTATAGCATTGCCTTTAAGTTATGAAACGAAAACGAAACGAGGCTGTTGAACAAAAGCCCGCCACAAATACAAAAGACCAGCTGTTGGTAATTCTATAGCCCATCTCAAAATAAACTGAAATGATAAATAACAAAAAAATAAAACGACCGTTTATATGCGCGCTCGTAGATGCGCTCCCAGATCTATAAAAGCAAGAAGAAGTCGACTGTCGAGAAGATATCCTCTAATGTAAATTTCTTGCCTAGGTTCGATATATTGAAAATAAATTTTTAAAATAACTTCTTTATACATGTAAAACCGGATGGTAAGCAAAAAAGATTTATACAAACGTTTTTCGCGATTTTTCCGCACAAGCGGGTGGAATTTCTCGAAACCTCGTCTTAACGTAACTACAATGAAAAGTGCAGACTCCTAGATCTTACTGTGAGAGCTGTGATCACCAAACAGTCAGTCCCTCCGTCCGTCCGTCCTTCAATCAGTCAGTCAGGACAAACAGTTTTACATATGTATATACAGATATTTGGGATCGAAAATGCTTCCATCTGCGTTTGCACTAAGGCATTCAACCCTTTTACCAATTTTCGATGGGTTCATAAAAATATAAACATTACTTTAAAGTAAAAAATAAATATAACTTTTGCTTCTGCATGTTACGTATATTTTTTCGCTCCATTTTCGTGCACATTTTCTTTTAGCTTTTGGGACAAAATAAAAGAAAACAATTGATCTTGGGTTTTTTAGGATTTTGTTTATGGATGCATTAAAGTGCGCTTGCAACTGACACCTGCAGACAATGTTAATTTGAACGCCACGGTCCGTATCCGCGCTTCCACTAGAAAGTATATCAAATGGACTACGCGACTACGGCTAAACGTGTTAAGTGTGTCCAATTTGCACGAGCCAAAGTTGTTACTTCCCTGTTGCTGTTACTGTGCAACGTTTTTTTTTTTTTAAGACCGCCCAAAATCATGTTTAAATGCAAAAATTCTATAATAAATCTGAGCTGCAGTCGCTCGTAACCAGGTATCAACAACGCCCACCTTGATGTCTGGCGTGGGGAAACTCCAGGTTTCCTGGCTGGCATATTTATGACTTGTTCGCCTGCAGCCTGCATCAAAACCTCAACCGAAATCTGTCTGGCGTTCGGTCAGCTTGCAATATTGTAATACTTATGACTGGGCAGCAGCCGGCTTGTTTCGGCTGTGTGCTACAAGTTTGGCAGGAATTTCTGGCTTTTGCATTTGAATAGATTAGCCGCATGTGAAATACTTTTGGCATTTTCTGTTGTGACGCTGTGAAAACTGTCGTTAACATAATATATATATTTTCTTATTTTTTTTTAAAAAGTGAAAATATGTAACATGGAAAGTTACTTAAGAGCGCCGCCGGAGAAAGGCTCAAAGAACCTAATTTAAGGAATGCTCAGAGCCAGCCAAGGAAACAGGCAAATCGCGAATGTCTTTATATTCAAGAATTTTAAAGCTAAATTCATAGAATAGTACAGGTAAATTAAGGATTGTTCGCTTTAAAGATCAAGCTAAACAGTTCTTTATAATTCGAAATCAGCTTTGAAAACATGGCTTAAAGTCGACATGAAGTTAGTTTTAAAGTGACTTCAACTGATGTCATTTGTTATTTCACTAAGAGAGCATTTTTCAATTTTATTTTAAGACACGAGAAAGTCTATCATTGACAGCCGTAGATCATATATCCATGCATGGCTAAGAAGCACTCCTTTACCAAATATTTAATATATCATATTGTGATACGATTTGATACGCGTTTGATTCAGTTTTCATAGGAAATATTTCGAAAAACTCATTTATGACCGATTATTTCTATAAAGGAATATAAAATCTTATTCCAATATTAATAAGATATATCTTATAAGTCGGAGATCGCTCCTTCACACATTCCGCGACAAAATTAAAATATACACAAGGATATAAAAAAAATTAATCTGTTTTCATAATCACAAACGCGTTCTATTTCGTAGTTACCTTAGGCTAATTTACAATAATCTAGCCCGAAACTTTTAACATCATTTTATAATTCTCCACAGCAAAAACGAATTATTTTTTCTTATTCTTAACATTTCGTAGTCTTGTGTACAACGCCACGAAATTCGCAAAAATATGCATGTTCAAGAGCAAATATTATGTGGGAATTTTAATGACACATATTTTTGTTGTTGCGATCATTAATCTAATTCTGTCGTTGCAGCGCGAAAGCTATTTATGTGGGCGTTGCAAATGCCGACGGTCATAATAACTACTGCATGCAACTAAAATTCAGTTTCATGTGTGTCCAGATGTGCATTTATTGCCAAAGAGCCTACTCTTGGATGGCCAGCAGATGAACATGAAGGTCCTCGAAAGCTACGCGTAGATCAAGCTCATTTTGAATCCATGTAGTCAGGACTAGCTCGCAGGCTGTTGGAGCATATTGATTTTAACACCCTGACAGATACGAGAAAATAAACTATATGTTGCGTAATTATTATACATTCATTTTTTTTTTTTTTTTGAAATGTGATAAGTGTGTTTAATGCGGAGTAGAGAGAAGCAGAGAACTGTCTGTCAAAAATACACAACCTGCAGCGCGTATTTTGGTGTTTCCATTAAGATGGACATATTTATTACAATATTGATGAATAGCGGATATTACCCGGCTTTTTCCGGAACAGGTTTTGCTTTACAATTGGTGGCATTACACGTTTCACGAGCGTGAGAACTTTACTATTATTATTGTAGACCCTTACAAAAGAGTTCAAAGGCGATCGGATAAAAGCGAAAATTGTATAAAAATATATAAAAAATTAAGTTTGCATACATCTTAAACAATTTAGTAAATTACCACAAAACAGAAAGATTAACTCTCGAACATGCAACATTTGAGCTCAATTTCATTTGAATATTGAAATAAGCGTAAATAAAATTTTAAGTAAATTTTAACACGTCTTGAATAAATGTGCTTGTCCATAAATTGCAGCCCGATTTTCTACTTGAATTTTTCACGAATTGATTGGTTGACTTTGCGAAAAGTGTGAAGCGCCTCTTAAGTGCATTTTAAAAAGTATTTTCGAATATCAGTTTGAGACCGGATTGTAAATTAAAAACGTATAACCACTTATGGCCAATGTTTAATACTCAAAATGTCAGCTTCCTTCAATCAGGATCAACAGTTTATTGTATCTATTGGTGGGTTTTGCGACTAGAGATCGCGATGTCAGCTCATTTGCACACTCGGATATAATTAATGGTCAGTTGTTGGCTGCGAAGATCAATAAGACGATTTCCTGTACCAAATATCAATAACAGCCTCTTCAGCATTGAATCTCTAATAAATATTGGCAGGGCAAACAATATTTCTGCTGGCGACACTGAATGAATTGCAATTAAGCGCTCTCATAAATATTTGTTAAGAAACAAACATGCGAAACCACTTTGGCAACGTTATCCATTAATGAATATTATGGCTAAAAGCTTAGGTTGTTGTTGTTGGATTTGTTGTTGTTGCTGCTGCCGTTTAAGGACGAAGGATTTGCGGTTCGTTTTAATTACATTTGCAAATGAACGTTACAAAGCGAGTGCACTGCTGGCACCACGTCTTACACGTACGAACAGGACACTAGGTTCGGTTTACAGGATAACACTGATATGGACTTGATCTTGGATAGATAACGCGCCTCGCGGACTCACCGAGCCAGCGTGCGAGCGCACGATCGCACCACTGGAAATCGAAATGAGAACTGAACGTGTTACAACTAAGCTCTAGTAATTGCGGCCCAAGTGTGCAGAAATTTCCGCCATATGTCGTAAAAAAGAGCGAGAGACGCACACAGCCAGGTAGAGGCCAGTGTTGCCACATTTAGCTATTTTCAAGCCAAACATGGCCAATCATAGCCAAAACTATTGAAATTCGACTGTTACGTTAAGTTTCGATTTTTGGCTATTTAATGAAATATTGCTGAAACCTGTAAGATATTGTCAACATATAATAAGCAGAAGCTTCGGCATGACTCTAGCTCTTATTATTTACCGAAATTGCCCAAAAAAACAGGATATCGATATCGATTTTTATCGATTGCTTGGAAGATTATCGGAAACAAACTCGATCTGCGCGGGAACTAGGAGCATCTAAATCTAAAATTTCAAGTCTCTAGCTCTTATAAGTTCTGAGATCCTTGCGTTCATACATACGGACAGACGGACGGACGGACGGACGGGTAGACGGACGGACGGACAGACAGACGGACGGACGGACATGGCTACATCGACTCGGCTATTGATGCTGATCAAGAATATATATACTTTATGGGGTCGGAGATGCTTCCTTCTGCCTGTTACATACATTTGGATTTTGCACAAATACAATATACCCTTATACCCATTTTTATTGGGTTCAGGGTATAAATATTGCTTCACAGTACACTGCCCAAAAGAACCCAGTTCTTTGTCCACTTGTATCCAAACATACGAACCAAATTGCCAATTTAATGCAGCTCAACTTTAGGTTTAGCTGCTTGTTCGAAGCGACAGTTGGCAACACTGGCACAGGTGAGCAGAGAGCACGTCACATACCACACACACACACACACATACACACAGGTGGAAAGAGTACACCTCTCGCCTCTCAGCTCAGCTGAGCAGCCAATATCAAAACGCCATTGCACAGTGCACTTGCAGAGCGAATCGCTAGCCGCGTGCCAACTGCAGCTTGCCGGCAAACTTGTCGCACAGCTTCGCGTGCACACACACACAGATGTGTGCGTGCGAGTGTGTGTGTGTAACTTGCCGCTACTTTGATAACAAGTTAAACAATCCGCACAGATGAAACTTTCACACTCTACAGGCCTTAATGAAGGGTTTATCTTCAAGATGTTAAGATCTAAAATCTTATGTTAACCTACAGGTTTTTAGAGATATAGTTTTGTTTTTTTCATATTTTCTCGTTTAGTGCAAAATGTTTATATTATTGCTCTAGTTAAAAAAGTTAAAAATTTAAAGTACAAATGCATATTTCATATGCACAAGACTTATAAAACCATAACTAATTCATATTTATGTACATATATTGTGTGTAAAAATGCAACTCTGACATTTGTGGTCTGCCCCCTTCTGAATTGTTGCGGGGGCTAATCCGTTTCCGACGCCTTTTTCTGTTGCAGTCGAACTCTAGGGATACAACCACGGCTTATAGAAATAGCCACACGACATGTGTACTCCTAAACACAAACATAATTGTACATAACAAGCTAGGCGCTCTTTCTGAGCGTGCGCGACTGACAGTTACCCTTTAGTCAGCTCAATAACATTCATTCGTTTAGGGAAAAGACAGATTCAAGCAAAGCTTCTCTTTCAGATCAAATATTGGGTGTTATTTATTTTAGGGCTGAGATGCCTTATTCCTCCCTCTTAATATATATATATACAGCCTACATTTTACAGGGTATCAATAGTACGAATACGCTATTCGGGCACGCGGGTTCTTCTGCTATTAGCAAATAAATATTTATTCATTACCCCATATGAATAAATTCTTAAGGTCTCATACTAAGTATTCATGATTCTATATCATTGTTAAGCATAGAAATAGGAAAGAACAATTCTTAAAAGTAGTTTTGTACGAAAATTCTATTTCAATACAAGAACTCATATTTTGATCGATCGATCTTATGCCAGCTAAACTCCCCGACTATCACGATAAAAAGACGAACTCTCTAAGTTTAAGCTTTAGCTCAGAGACTAGCTTGCATGGAAGGAGACAGACGAATATTCAGACATAGCTATGCCGACTTGGCATTTGACACTGATCCAATATATATATACCTTATGAGATCGTAGACGTTCACTTCCATGCGTAATTTCCCGAGAAAATTATAATACCCTCTCCCAGTTTGTAAAATGAATGAAGCTTAGAAGTTTGTGCGTAGTTAAAAAACGACTCGGAGTTGATTTTGGGTTAGATAATTGGGATTTAGATAGAAACACGGTTAGCAGAGTTTAGGCTTTTGGAATATCCTTTTTATCTGTTATCTGTATCCAACTCAAGTTTTCCCGTTTTCGATAGTTCGATCCATACTCAGTTTCCGGCAGGTGTTTTCAAAAATTCCTTCAATTTTCAATAGAATTTTTGTATTTATTATAAATAAAGTTAGTTATATATACTAAATTTTGTTATTCAGGTCTAGGTTCGACTGTTCTTTATCCAAATAATTGGGTTTATAGAAAATAAAATGTTGAATTCTGGGTTTAAGATTGGCCTGTTTATATGGATGCTGGGTAAAGAACCTGTACACTATCTATCGGCTCAGATATCTGCACTTGCCTATCTTTTTTACAACTTAGGTTTATGTTTTTTTCCTTCACATTTTTATGGGATGGGGGCATTAATAAGCAATTTAAGCAAATAATAAAGTGCATGATTGGAAATGCAACAGAAAGTGAAATTGTTGTCTATAAATCTGCACACACCAAGCAACCTACCTTCATGCATAGGCCATAAGCTTTGCGCAAAGGCAATAAAAATAAAACCATTTGGCAATTTGCCTCCAGCCTGTGCCGTCAAAGATATTAGTGGCCACCGCGGAGCTTTGAACGCCTTTGATGAGTGTCTTTGTTTTTATTATTTTTAAACACAAACGACATCCACATCGACATCGACATCGACATCGACATCGACAGCTCCTTTAGTGCGTCGTGAGGTTTTCCACAAACAGATAAAGGTTACCGCGAGCCGCAAGTGACAATTGAATTTCCCGCTGATGTTGTCTTTGCTGCTTAGCCCATTGCAAGTTAAACACTTGTAATGCGAAAGTGTTTTTGTGTCACAGCGCTTACACAATGGCCAAAACAACAAATTCAACTCAAAACATGGCTAACAACCACACACACACACACACACACACACACACACACGAGCTGTTAAGTGGTTGACTCGAGGCAATCGCCAGCCAGCTGGAACAGAAGCGGACGAAGCGGACTTCTTGTGGAGTTGGCTTTGCGTTTATAAGTAGCCAAAGACGAGCACCAAATTGCAGCACATCAGCCAAGGCTGCTCGACTTGAAAATACCCAGCGCCCAACTCAAAGCAGCCAGAAAGATTCCAGAATACCCTATAGATAACGTCCAAATTTAAGAGGTGTAGCCTTGGGCTTTAGTAGGTAAACACTTTTGTAGGTCATCTTTGGAACCTGCCAGTCTCATGAAGATTGGACTATAAGAATCGGAGTTACTACAGAAAGCATATTCGACAATTTAAAAAGAAATGGTGTATATATTTTAAGGCATTTCCACATTTTGACACAGAGTATCGCCTAGTCGGGCACTCCCCTGTGGGTTATTCTTACTCGTATTATTTTTTTCATTTATCAAATACCTCCTTCTGCTTGTTTTTATACATTATTAACAAGTACAGGGTACGAACACCAATGCAACTGCCCCTATGCCAAAGTAAAATTCGACGCCTACGATGCCAGATTGCATTTAGTTTGATGGATACAGCAATTAAATGGTGGAAAAAATGCCGGCAAAACAAAGAAAACAATATGAAAACCGGATTTTTTGTATGTGGACAGGCGCCTACGTCACATAAAAAGTGCTCGGGAAAATGCAGTAGGAATGCGAAAACAAAACGAAGTGAAGGTGTACGACAAGACCATGATTTGCAATGCCGATCTGCGCAACAGGCTAATCGATGCGGCTACACGAGATCAGTGATCGGCGATCGGCGATCAGCGATCAGCGATCAAATTGATTAACCAAGTCAATGTGCGCACGCTCACAATCAATTAAATATGAAGACATTGAGGTGAGGTGATCTGTGTTTTAGTCTGGTGCTGAGCCTCAATCTCCCACAACAAGGCGGCTTAATCATTTGCATGGGCAACAATCGCAGCCATTAAGTCTGATAGCGTTGCGCATGGGTTTGATCGTCGTTAGTTTGATAGCATTATCATGTTGTTGTTGTTGGACGTGATTATGGCTTTTTTTTCGGTTGTTGTTGTTGCAGCTTTGATCAGAGTAACAAGATCATGATGCATTTTCGAAAGCCTAAATTGCAAAACTTACTCACAAAGTCCTTACACATTCGCTGAAAGTGAAAGTTACGATCATCGAAGCTGCGATCACCTGTCATGTGTGAAATGTCTGGAAGGAGATTGCCAGACTGCAGATGCTTGATAATTGGTCGCTTGATTCTGGCGCATTGGATTCACTTTTCAAATGCAAAAAGCCTAGCACAGCAAATATAATAATTTATGCTAGAGTCCGTTTATGAGCTCCACTCAAACCGAACTGGACATTTTAATATGATACCATTTAACACCTTTACCAAATAACAACAACAACAACAAAGTGTACTATGTTGTGTAAGGCCGTATAAGGATCGAACGAGCATCGATCGGCGTTGGCGTTAACTCCCACAGCGTCTCGCCGGCTCGTAAATAAGAAAGAAAAAAGAGTAATATCTAGCCCGACGCAGTTTGGTTTTTTGAATGAATTGGCCACCAATAGATAGTCCAGACAGCTGGATAGACCAACAGGCGACAGCCGAGGCATTTAGAAAGTCGCCGCTCACACGCCGCCGTTTAAGAGCCAAGGAAAATAAATTGAAAACTGTAAAGCAAATTACCAGTAAAATGCATTGTGACAAGACTTTGCGTGGGTGCTTTTTGTCAGCATACGGCCTATTCGCCAATGCGATCTCTTCAGTTTATATATATTGCCCATTATGCCACCTGTCGTATGGCCAGCACGCAACTAATTTACCATCAAATAAATATTGTATTATGTCTCTGCGCATCACTACAATATATTATTTACTTTGCCTAACTGAACGACTCGTGTGCCATGCACCTTTCTCTATGAGCTAATAGGGAATCTCGAGAATATCAAGCTTTAGAATATTATGAAGAGGCCTTATAAATTTTTAAATGTCCATTTTAGTTACCTTATATGATGCAGGTGCACTTTACGAAGGGGTTTCGGCAAATGCCACCCGATAAAGGTTTGTATGTCAAAGATCTATACAAAATATCATTTGAGACGTGTTTCACACTTTTCGCAGAATCCAAGCTATATACAGGCACCTATGTATGTACATTTTTGCATACCTGTGTGCATATATATGAATGCATGTTAATATATGTATATATGTAAGAACGCATGTTTGTTTGTGTATATATATAAATATGTAGATACATACATACAAACATATATGTACATGCATACACACATACATATGCACATACAAACATACACACATACATATGTACATACATACACACATACATATGTACATACATACACACATACATATGTACATACATACACACATACATATGTACATACATGCACACATACATACATACATTTGTACATACATGCGCACATACATACATACATACATATGTACATAGAAACATACACACATACATATGTACATACATAAGTACATACATACACACATACATATGTACATACATACATACAATGAAACATACACACATACATATGTACATACATACACACATACATACACACGTACATACATACATACCTACATACCCTACATACACGCATACATACATATGTATATATATAGCAACAATTATATATATGTACATACATATGCATATTAAAACATACATATTTATGTACATACATACAAAAAAAATAAACAAAAACAAACAAAAAAAAAACACCAAAAAAAAAATACCAAAAAAAAAACTACACTGCTAGCTAAGCATGCAATACTGCAGAGCCTACTTTAATTCTTGAGAATCGAGGAGGAGAGCACTTGGCAAAAATTCAACGAAAAATAAGCTTGGGCTGTGTTCAGTATTAGAAAACAACCATGGATGCATACATATATTCATAAATGCACACATACATGCATGCATACACTAACATACACACGCCCACACACACACACACACACGCACACGCCCCCAAACACACACACAACATTATTTTTGGTATAAAAATGGTACGCTCAAACATTCCAAATTTCCAACCCCCATAACTTGGTCAAATCACATTCGATTTTCCGGAGGCTTGACTTGATGTGCATGGTTTGGCCTTTTAATCAATTTCACATTTAAATCTAGCAACATTATTCTTGTAATATATATATATATATATATATCCATATACTTCAAATGTTGAATAAACGTTCTTATATAATCATATATTGAGCAACAACATGCGGGAATTGCGAGGCTTTCAAGGGAAAACCCAACACGACTGCTCTAGTCAAGAGTGCCCGACTTGTTAATACCCTTTACTTAAAATCCCAACATTAACATAAGAACTTTCTTATTAATTCGGCGCTAGGTTTAAAAGTAGAATTATGACATACTCTCTTTATATTTGAGGGGTAATGGAGAGAGGTGGTATCCATAAAGTAAATTTTTTCTCATACGAGGTATGTAAAAACAATCAGGCAGCTAAAACCAACAGCGTAAAACTCTATGAACTATTGATTTTTTTCGAATTGCCACGCTCCCAGTGGATATATAGCTTTTCGATTTGCACGGTTAACCTTTACGGGGTGACGTGGGCTAACAATTTTAGTCTCACTAAACTTAAAAACTGAACGTGGCTCAATATGGCTAACTTTGACTGACGCGGATATACACGAGTATATACTTAACGCGTTGTGAACGAATATTAAAACGGCAGTGACGATTTTCTGTACATAATGTTTTATCTGTTAAGATTGAAAATTGGGCTGAAGGAAGCATCTCCGACCTCCAATGCAGGTTTCTTTTCTTTTATTACATTGGATATCTGCTCACATTTCCCCAATATCAGTAGATATTTATTTTAAAACAAAGTCTTTTATGCATAACTTGAGGTAATCCCATCTAGGGACACCGATTTAAGTATTTAAAAAGTAAATCATTAAATCTCTTCATAAAAAGTGGTACCAGAAGGTATTTTATAGGGTATCTTCGAGTCGGCCGCTCTTGAGAAAAGCGTTATTGTTTACCCACGTTATAATAATAGTCTAACAAATAAACAATGCTGATAAGTGTGCGAGTTTGTACAAAATATTAAGAAGCTATTTAAAAACTATTTGCAGATAATACTTTTAATACAACATTAAAAAAAACTCAACAATTGGTTACAGGGAAGTAGCAAAGATTACGTTGCTTGAGCTGGGGGGGCAGTGATGCCAATTCAGCTATTTTCTAGCTAGTTTACTGCAATTGTATTTTTAACATTGCATTTGGCTTTAGTTGGCAACACTGGCAAGGAGCAAAGCGATAGCTTGCGCTCTCTTGATGTCTCTCCCCATTTGCGAGTAAGTTGCGTTTCTCGCGATTTCTCACGTTCAAGATGAAGGCAACGTGCAGCTCGGCACGCTTTCAGTTAAATAAGTCTATGTTGATTATTGCAGTTGGTCCCGGTATTACCCAAAACTGCACTTATATATGTATGTATGTCAATATGTACATGTGCAATGGATGCTTATAGATACAAATGAAAATGCAAAAAAAAAAAAAAAAACAACGTACCTTTGCTTCCGTTGATGCTCCGGAGCTGGAATCGGTTTGGGTGCAACGCCACCTTGATTTGGTTGCTGTAATTTGTCTACTTGATTTACATCTATATTATCATTTATATTAATATTATTAATTTTGTTTAACTGATTTTTTGGCACTTTAGCGGTCGCTGTCTCCTCTGCACTATTACTTTTTTCATTATTAGGCACTACACTAAAATATTTGTTATTATTATTGATATTTACATCAGACGGCAGCACTTTTATATTCACTGACGTGTCTATTACCGCGTCGCTTATAGCTTCTGCACTACTACTTGGCGCGCTGCCCAACTTCATCACAATGTTATCTTCTTCTTGCTGTGGCGACGACGACGTCGTCGTCGACGTTGACGCTGTTGTGGTTGCGGTTGGTGGCGCATCTTCTTTTGCCACATTTGTAACTGTTTTAAATTTTGTTAACGGCATGGCGAAAGTCCCCTCATTTTCTGAGGCTGGCGCCAAGGCGGCCAATGGAATCTGCATTCGAGCGTCCGCCTGATGCACGGCCCTGTTTGCATTTTCCGCTGTTGCAGCATTTGCTGAGGAAACATCTGCCGCAGCAGCATTATCATATAGCCAGAAACAGCAGCTGCAAGAAAAATGGAGAGTCGCGACGAAGAAAATGGTTAGGTACACATTGTAAAATTGTGACTTGCTTGTTGTCTTACCTTAGTATTAGATTAATGTACATAAAGCGCACTAAATGCAATCTAATTTTCATTCTATTGTTTTCCAGCGCGCGCTCACTTATTATCAAGATATAACAACAAGGCGACCCGCTACTCGGCGCGAGGATGTTTCAATTGTCTCGCCCACTTATGCTTAAACTACTTTATATTATATACATTATTGCCATTCGTTCAATAACGAAATAGTGCAATCTGTTAAACTATGCACAAAACTGTCATACTGTGTTGCCTTTACAAATAATAATAAGCAAAGTGCTGCTTAACTTGTCGCAGCCTAAAAAAATAAAACAAATTATAACTAAAGATGTGTGTTGCGCGATAGCCGCAATCGATTCTTTTGCCTATGTGTGGCAGTACTTGACCAAAGCGAAGCCAATTAGCTTATTAGGGTATTCGTCTTTATATAAAGTTCGTTTGCAGTTTACACATTCCTAAAAGAAATGTTCCCTGCGAATAAAGCACCGTTTTTATCTTAAAATGTGCCATATAACGGAACTATTTGAACTCGATTTACATTGGAATGGAACTAGTAGTTCGATAGGCGCTCTGGGTCTATTCGATTGTTAAAGTGAAGACTTAATTGTAAACAACTTATCGAAACCGATGAAAATATGAAAAACAAATTAATTTTCTCTTTATCTATCTTTTGGTTGATTTGATAAATACTTCTTGGTAAAACGTAATAAAATAATTTATTTTAATAATGTCATTCCTGCGTGGTTCGCTGAACTATGTTTGGTGTACAACCAGTGTGTTGGGCAAAGGCGCCACCGGATCTGTGTTTCAGGTAGGAAAACATTTTGCATTTATGTATGTGGCGTATGCACATATTCTATCTATTTTGCAGGGAGTGAATAAGACAACCGGAGAATCCGTTGCCGTTAAAACATTCAATCCGTACAGTCACATGCGCCCCGCCGATGTGCAGATGCGCGAATTTGAAGCCTTGAAAAAGGTAAATCATGAAAACATTGTCAAATTGCTGGCCATTGAGGAGGATCAGGAGGGACGCGGCAAGGTTATTGTTATGGAGTTGTGTACTGGCGGCAGTCTATTCAATATACTTGATGATCCGGAGAACTCGTACGGCCTTCCGGAACAAGAATTCCTGCTGGTGCTGGAGCATCTATGCGCTGGAATGAAACATTTGCGAGACAATAAGTTGGTGCATCGGGACCTCAAGCCCGGCAACATAATGAAATTCATATCTGAAGATGGTCAAACCATATATAAGCTGACCGATTTTGGTGCTGCACGTGAACTCGAAGACAATCAGCCGTTCGCTTCGCTGTATGGTACTGAGGAATATCTGCATCCCGATCTGTATGAACGCGCGGTGCTGCGCAAGTCCATACAAAGATCCTTTACTGCCAATGTGGATTTGTGGTCCATTGGGGTGACGCTCTACCATGTTGCTACTGGGAATTTGCCTTTCAGACCATTCGGGGGTCGTAAGAACCGCGAGACAATGCACCAAATAACCACAAAAAAGGCTTCTGGTGTCATATCTGGCACACAGTTGGCCGAAAATGGACCTATTGAGTGGTCAACGACGCTGCCGCCCCATGCACATTTATCGCAAGGTCTCAAGACGCTCGTCACGCCTTTGCTGGCTGGTTTGTTGGAGGAGAATCGGGAGAAGACCTGGTCCTTTGATCGATTCTTCCAGGAAGTAACTCTGATATTGCGCAAGCGTGTCATCCACGTCTTTTTTACGAATCGCACCAGCTCGGTAGAAGTGTTCCTAGAGCCAGATGAGCAGATTGACAACTTTCGCGAGCGCATATTCCTGCAGACCGAGGTGCCACTGGAAAAGCAAATATTGCTCTTCAATAACGAGCACCTTGAAAAGAAAGTGTCGCGACGGACCATCGGTAAAAAGATGCTCATCTTTCGTAGTTTTTTTTTTTTTAATAGTTGATTTCTTTTGCAGCCAAAGCGTTTCCCAAGACAACTACGGAGCAGCCCATATTCCTTTACAGCAACGATGATAACAATGTTCAATTGCCACATCAATTGGAATTGCCCAAGTTCCCAGTGTTTCCGCCAAATGTATCCGTTGAAAATGATGCGAGTCTAGCTAAGGTATATCAGCCTTCAATTTTGTCTTACTATATACATATATATACATATAGATGCCGAATCTCAATCGTGAATGCTTTTAGATTTACACATTAACTTTTCACAGGCTGCTTGCAGCGTGGGCCATGAATGCAAACGACGCGTGGATATCTTCACCACCATGGATATCCTAATCAAAAGGGGAGTTGAACAATTTATCGAGATGCTTATAACCACCATAACATTGTTGTTGAAGTGAGTAAAGAAGCAGAGAAAGGAAACTTTCTGTACGTCTAGAAACCATATTTATTTCAACACATACTTAGAAAAACCGAAAGCTTTGACAATCTGCTGTCGACTGTAGTTGACTACGCAGATGTGGTGCACATCATGGCAAGTGTGGTAAGCCGAGCACCTTCATATAGTTCATATGATCAGCATGTTCTCTTTTTACAGACAAAAGGCGACCAGGAGCTAAAGTCTCTTCTCGGTTCCCTGGATAATGTAAAGAGTGAATTTGATGGAGCAGCCGATGTTATCACGCAGATGCACAAGCATTTTGTTACCGACGACGAACTGAAGTAAGCTAAACTCTTAGAGCTCAAGTGGCTGAACCATGTTGCTGACATTCTTAATTAACAGCGATCAGTGGTCGTCTCTGATGCATGGAAAGAAATGTCCTTGCCGCACTCGCGCCAGCGCACAGGCAAAGTACTTGGTAGAGCGTCTGCGCGACTCTTGGCAGCATTTGCTGCGTGATCGTGCAACACGCACTCTGACATACAACGACGAACAATTCCACGCGCTAGAGAAAATTAAAGTGGACCACAATGGAAAACGTATTAAGCAGCTGCTGCTGGATAACGTGAATCCCGCAGTAGCGCAAATGGCCGAATGCTTGGCTGACTGGTATAAACTGGCGCAAACGGTGTATCTGAAAACTCAGATTTTGGAGAAAGACGTGCGCGACTGCGAGCGCAAGTTGCATAGTATTCGCGATGAGCTCTACCACATCAAATCTGAGCAGAAGCTTGATCTAGACACTAAGAATATTAACAGCAATAACCAATTGGCCAAAATTGAGGAACGCAATCGTCTGCGCATTATGAAGCAGCAGCAATTAGAAGTGATGGCCGTGATGAGAAAAAATAACGAGCTTATAGCTTTGCTAAGTAATTTAGGAATTTCAAACGGCAATGTTAAGGGCAGCTTGCCTTAGGGGCACAAAATTCTACACTTATTATTATTATTTGTACTATATCTTAAATAAATATTTTGTATAAAAACAAAAAGTCTTTAAATCTTGTTACATATCAAACAATACCCTTCCAGTTGCTTTTTAAATCAAACGTAAATTGAAATCGAATGTGATTAATCGATTCCGATATCTGGTTTAGCATGCTGCCGATAAAATCCTATCGATAATGCCATTGATAGTATCTCTGCGCTCGTAGGGGGTGGCATTGCAATTGTTTTCATTTTAGTTTTGGCTTTGGTTATAATTTATTTACAATGTATTTGTGCTCACTATGCTTTCATTACTGAGCACAGTCGGACATATCTTCGATGTGGTGCTAATACGGCCTATTACGACCGTAATCGAGACACTCGTGGCGGTAGTATACTACTTCCTGGCTGCTAGCTGGTTCGTAGGCTACTGTCTCGTTGAAGCCGGCGCACACATCTGGAAGGTCCTATGCGATGGTTACCAAATAGCTACTATTATATATAAGGAGTGCACTCTTTTCTACTGCGAGCTTCGTCACATGCTTGGCGAGGTGTCCGACTACATATACTATGGCACCGGCGATGGACTTAGTCTGGCACGCTATTTGGCAGAGGAAGTCGTCTTATTTCTGGGCAACGTGCTCATTGGACTTGGCAATTGTACACTGTGGATTCTACTACTGCTGCCGCGTGCCATCATTTGTATTGTAGACTATATAATATTGCTACTCGATAGGCTAGTTAGTTATATTGTAGAGCGTGGCACACATCTGCTTAACAACGTCTTTCGACTGTCTATTGGCATCGCTGTTCTCCTGGTACTGTACATGTTTCGCAGATATGTGTTTCTCCTGGCCGTCTATCTGCTGAGTAGCCTGCGTAGTGAGATCTCAACCAAAGTGCGCTGGGTCTTGGAGTGGGCCTCGAATTGGACTGACCGACATCTATCCTGGGTGTTGCAAAAACTGGAGGTTGCCGAACCCTCTGGCAATGCGCCGGGCAGCCGAACACATTGTGTGGTCTGCTTGGAGCGAAACAGGAACATTGTTGTATTGCCCTGCCGGCATTTTTGCCTGTGCAAGGAGTGCTCACAGCAGCTTCGGCACTTCGAAGGCGGTAACCGTTGTCCCCTCTGCCGGCATAACGTTGACACATTGATGCCTGTCTTTGACTGAATGACTATTTTTAACTGTATGTGTATATATTATAATTATTTGTATATTTTATGTAAGTCCATTTAAGCATAAAACGTTTTGTAATAAAATAAAATTTACGAAAACAATTGTGTCTTATCGAACTCAAAACGAAACGTTTGCGACAACTGCTTGAAGACTTTGAAGATGAATATAAATATAATTACCATTGTAATAACATTGTATTCAATTCAGATTGGTTTGGTTTTAGTCCGATTTGTATCATTCTTTAGCATAGCAAATTTTTACTGCTTTCCAAAAGCTTGGCAAGACAATTATAGATATTAAAAAAATGTATGAGCTTCTTCCAATAAATAGAACTCACTTGGTTAACACTCAAGAAAAAAGTTAAACAGTTTTATTTGAAATCAGTGATAGTATACATTGTGAATATATATATGATTTTTAGAACTAAATTGCTCAAAAGTCATATAGAAAAATAGAATAGGTTTATGCTTAATTCTTTATTAAATCGAAATGAAATGATTTGTATTTACTTGTTCATGGTAGGTACATACAATATTAAACGAAACAATAAAAGTAAAATAGAAAATGTATATCATATATATATATATATATGCATGCAGTTATAGATATATATAAATATATATATATTTGTTTGTAGATATAGCATTTTAGGTGTATTTTTCTATAAGTTTTCTATACATATTTATATAAATAAACATATATATAAATATAAATCCTGTCTTTAGTTATAGCTTAACTGATGGGCTTCAACTTCAACATGTTATTTTGTGCACGAAATATTCTATATTTATGCACATTAAGTACAATATCATTGTCAAAGAACCAAATGATGTACATTATATGCTTTTGTTTTTGGCTAATATATGTTATTGTATTTTTTTATTTATTATTTTTTTTTGTATATATTGATTTCTTGTGTTCCGATTATTGCTAAAAAATTCAATTTTTTTTTGCCATCCATAAAGCTTCATGGGCTCTTAAACATAGACCCTGGCCTATTATTTATCTGATAGGAAAGTGGATAATAAAATATGCGTATGTAACTATATGTATATATTAAAAATATGCCTTTTACAGTTAAATTGTGTATGTATGTAATATATTCAAAAGTGTTTTCAAAATCGTTTCATTGATAAATGTATCATTCATTTCTCAAAAATATGCATACCAAAAATGTTTATACTTGACATTCATTTAGATGTACATACATATAAATATACAAAAGAACATTTTAACACAAAGTTCATGTGACAATTTAGAAGTTTCTTGTAAAAGTTCCCTATTCAAAATATATATATGTATATATATATATATATATATGTACCGATGCATGTGGCATACATAGTGGCTATGCATTAATGTACATATGTATGTATATATTGAGAAGGTACAAAGTAGGTTGTAAGTATGTACACATCGTTATAACTATATCTGGCTTAAGTTGTATTTGTTTGCTTTGCGAACGACTAATTCTCTATTATGTAAAAATATTAAATATTATGATCAAAGATATAAGTTTGTATGATATGTAACGGCTAGACAATGGCATCATTTCCGATTTAAAATCCAAACTTAAGCCCATTTCCAAAAACCAATCTGGTCACATTCCTTTCATTTTTCAATTTAAATTTTGTAACCGCTCTTAACCGTTACGCGAGCTTATGCTTAGGATTACGATAAATACATAGGTAGGTTTACACAAGTGCTTTCTTATCGTAACCTACATCTAGACTGTATATTAACTATCTGTAGAAAATGGCTGTTTACTGCACATATATATATAAATATATATAAATATGCATTTATATTCTTAGCTTTAGTCCGTTTATTTCGGCTGTGGATTAAATAGTCAATGAATTACTTTGCCTTAGCTAAATATTAGTAATAGTTATATTAAATATTTGCTCAAGATTCTTGGACATGAACAATAAAATACTCAACAAATGATTTATCAATGAGCTATAAAAGTACAATACGTACTGTGATATTTAATTCAGCTATTGCACATATATCGAAAATAAGTTAACAACATTTAAGATTTGTATTGTGCTGGCAAAAGCTTGAAGAGATATGTTTTCCATTGGTTAGGCCTAAATGGTTATTGTACTTAGTCTTTATTTATAGCCATGCAAGATTTTGTCAAACATAGAGGAAAGGCTGTACATCAATTATTCTCTAGCTAAGTTTTGTAAGATGTAAATTTTTGCATTATGCAGTTTTGCATATACCATTAAAAAAAAAAAATGAAAAACATATAAAAGTTGGACATAAGTAGACTTTAACGCCAATTTATCACAAAACCACACAGAGGGCAATGAATCGAAATAACATGTAGGGAAATACATAATTCAATGCAATTCTTTGAGAACTATTCCATATAATTGTGTGTTGCATTATAACTAATTAATAGATAATGACCTTAGATTACAAAATACTTATGCTTACACCTACTTATATATAAATAACTATTTATGTCTTATACAATAGTTTGTGTATTTGTGTGCAGCTCTGTATGTGTCAGACACAAATCACATAAAGGTACTTAAACTCTCTTTGTGCACACGGTCGTGCCATAAAATCTCAAACCAAGAACTCATGAATGTCGACCAAACTCTATAAACCCTAACTGTATGCTATGTATAGAGTATATATCTAACTAGTTTTTATTTTAAGTCTAGACAGCAAAGAAGGAGAAATACTTTTTGGGGAAAATTCGTGCTGGCTAAATTACATATCCGTTATCATAACTTAGGCTTTATTTTGTGTGCATCTGGCTCTTAATACAATTGACTAGACGTAAGCTAAAGGCAAGAGTGGGCACTGCACGAAAGAACTCTGATTTGTACTTGAAGGCAAACTAAAATTGGTCGTATCGAAGCGGGCAACGGGCAGCGGAAGGGTTTGGTTGGTTGGTTTTCCAATATATCTACTAGGCTGTCTAGGTACGCAACTGGATGTGCGTGTTGTGCCCATTGATTTTGACAGTCGGACTTGGAATTAAACAATTTAACAATTAACGTCAACAAGTTGTGAATTCTGTGTGCAGCTGACAAGTCACGAATAGCCACGGACTTGCCTCATTGCTGAAATATTCATGAACAGCTCCAATTATGCACTGTTCAGTGCCTGTACGGAACCAGGCTGACCCTAGCCTACGGGTGCGGGTGCGGGTGCGTTTACGGTTTCGGGCTCGGATCGATCATGCCTATACGTATGTGTAAGTGTCTGGTTGGGAACACTTAATTCAATAGCCTTAACTTCCTAAGGACACTGTTGTGTCATCTTTTTTTGTTTTATTGTTTTTTGTGTTTTTTTTTTGGGGGGGGGGGGGGGGGGGGGGTTCTGCTATCTCAGGCTCCTTGAGATCACTTAGAACTAGGTACATGTTGTCTGGGAGATTCCAAATTTAATTACTTACGCAATCTATTTACGTTATTAAAAGCTAAATATAAGGAAGCAAAGTTATGGCGCCTAGAAGGGCAACGTGGTAACGAACATGTTCTCAATGAGGGCCGGTGCTGGCACCAGATCCTCCAGCTTGAGATAGAATATGCGCTGCAGTCCCTGGACGCTCAGGGAGCGCAGCTCGGGCAGCTTGCCCAGCAGCCGGCTGAAGTAATGCTGTTTCTTCTGCGCTTCCGCGTTATAGGTCACATGATCTCGCAGGCTGCCAATAATCTTCATCTGCAGCTGTTCCACCTTCTTCGGCTCTCGCAGGCCATGTCGCTCTGCAAGGAATGGATAAGTACATTAAGCTCACGGTTTGTCTGGGCAGTTGGGCAACTAACCTGTTATGAGGGTGAGGGCGCAGAGGCAGGCAAAGGCCGATATGTCAATCTCAAGATTGTGCAGGCTGCGACTGAACTCCATGATGCCGTTGAGCCAATCGCCAAAGGAGCGCTGGCATTGGTTACGGTGCAGCACCGTGCCGTTGCAGAAGATCATTTTGGTGTCATCGCTGCGGGCGCGATAGGAGAGGCGCAGCACGAACAGCTCCAGCGATGCGGACTGGAAGAGGAGCTCCTGGTCTTCGGGCGTGAGCTCCAAATAGCCGGGAATCTTCTCGGCAAACTGCTTGATCACATCCACCGAGCTGCTCAGCAGCTGGTAGAACTGCTGCACCTTGTCGGCCTCGCTCAGGCCCAGTCCACTGGCTACGTTCGGCGGGGTCAGCGGATCGAGTGGCTCCTCGTAGTGTGTGTAGTCTAGGCACGAGGGATCCGGTGTTGTGTCCACGTGACTGCGCACCAATGCAGTTATCAGCGATATGGGCGGCGATGGGGGCGACTCTTGCGGCGACTTTGGCTTCGAGGGCAGACGCCCGCGGCGACCCTTCAGTGAGTCCGTGCGCACCACCTCCTTGACCATGCCAACCACCAAGCACTTTTGGAAACGACAGAACTGGCAGCGATTGCGCCGCCGCTTGTCCACCGGGCAGCTCTTGTCCGCCAGGCACACATACTTGGAGCCCTTTTGCACGGTTCGCTTGAAGAAGCCCTTGCAGCCTTCGCAGGTCCTCACCCCGTAGTGCTGACAGGCGGCCGTATCGCCGCACACGGCGCACAGCTGCGATGCGTTTGGATGAGTGGACTGCAGCAGACGCCCTTGGGCCTGGTTGTGCAGAAAATCCGTGCCGGCTCCGCTCACTGGCGAGCTGGCAGCAGAATTGGGTGCCGAGCTCAGCTGCACCTGCAGCGCATTCACGGTGTGCGCATTTCTCGCGCCCAGCGCCAGCTTCGCCATCTTGGGGCTGTGCGCGGCGGCGGCGGGCGATACGGAACGCTGCACAGGCAGCGAGGCACGACGCAGCGGCGGCACGACCACAACAGAGCCGGAATTGGCGCCGCCATTTGATGCGGACGCGGTGGCAGCCGTTGCTGCCTCCAGCTCGGAAATGGTGGGAAATGTGGGCAAGGAGTAGCGTTCGCCATTCGGCGTGTTGTAGTTCTGCAAAGAATGGAAAGCATATCCTTAAGGCAGCTGCCGGAATATCGGGCAGTAAGTTCATACTTACAATGTGCTGATAGCCCGACTGCTGTTGCCCGTAAAAGCCATCAGTCGGGCCCACACCGTTGTACTCGTAAAGCGAGCTGGCCGATGAGCTGGGCGAGGGATTGGAAGCGCCGTTGATGGCGTTGAAGTGACCATGGTAGTTGTAGCCGCTGCTGTTGCTGCTACTGTTGTTGTTGTTGTTGTTGTGGTGCCCGGCGCCTGCCAGGGCCGAAGGCTGAGCCTGCAGCTGGTGCAGCGACTGGCCAGAGCCGGGGCCAGAGTTAAGGTCAGCCATTACCTCCGCAGCGGTTGTCAGCGGAAAGCAGTCCTCATCCATTTTAATGGTCAAGATCTGATCGGAGGGCGTGCCCGTGGCCGAGGAGGACGCCTGCTTCGGACTGCTGGCGCTGCTGCTGTTGTACTTGAGAGAGTAGGTCTCCTGGAAACTGGGCAGGCTGCTGCCGCACGAGAGCGGCCCCCCAATGGGTGAGATCAGTAAGTCGCTGGCGCCGTGCCGCTGCAGATAGGCTGCCTGCAGCTGTTGTTGCTGCTGTTGTTGCTGCTGCTGCTGCTGTTGCTGCTGCTGAGCGTGGAGTGCAATTGCGGGATCGCTGCTGGAGCGCAGGCTGAGCAGGCAAATCGCGTGATGATCCTGCTCGGAGCCGGCGCTGCTGTTGGCGCTATTGGCTGAAAGCTGGTCTTGTATTGAGGACAGCCGCTTGTCGCGCAAACACGTCAGCTTGGTGAGATTCTCAATGGAGCCTGTGATATCCTCGCTGCTGCCGATCAGAGTCTCACTGGACGGCGTCACATCAATCTGTGTGTCTGGATAGCTGGCAACCGAATGCTCCAGCGCCGGCGAGAGCAAAGAGTTGTTCGAGTCCGATGGAAAGAATAAGTCCGAGAAGAGTTCGCTGTGCGTGACGGCCGCATCGGCAAGATTGCTTATCAGCTGATCCTCCTCATGGGTCAGCAGCGAGACCTGGTTGGATGTGGGCAGCAGCAGATGCTGATGCTGTTGCCCAACTAGCTGCTGCTGCTGCTGCTGTTGCTGTTGCTGTTGCTGTTGCTGCTGCTGTTGCTGATGATTATGATGGCGATGATGATGATGGTGATGATGTCCAGCACTACTCGCTACTGCAGCTACTGTGGACGTCGTCGTTGTCGTTGCCACGGCTTGCGTTGAGAAATTGTCGAACGACGAGAGTGAACTAAAGGAGCTCTGCAAGGCAAGAATGTCCGGGTTAGACTAAGTTTGTGGCAGATACTCTGCAGCGCAGGATAGCTTCTATTCCTAGTCCTAGTCAAGGGTGGAGTCAAGTCGCCTGCTAGACATGCGCGATGCTACAGCGCCTGCCGATTGGTGCACGGATTGCAACCCCTATTAGACAGACAGCCATATAATTGTGATACTCTGTTCGCAACTCTGAGCTGAGTATACACATTCCCTGATTATTTATATATGCTAGAAAGTTATGGAGCTCAGTCTGAGCTGAAATGGTCTTCTTTAAGTAGTTCTTTAAATAACAATAGAAAGCTTGAGTTCCTTAGGGATTTACCGACTTTATCTAAACCATAGTAAAAAAGTCCTCGAAAACAGAATGCATCTTAAAAATTTGGTAATGTTAGCGAAAGATTCAAAATTATTCCTCGATTGTTTTTCAGTTTTTAACTATCACAAATTCATTTTAAACAGATTGTCTTCCTTAAGTAAATCTTTGAATAACGCTGGGAAATTTAAGACGTGTGTTCCTTAGGGATTTAGCTACTTTTTCTAAGCTAGTGTGAAAAAACGCATCGAAAAGCAATCTATATTAAAATAGTTGTAATGTCCGTGGAAGATTGAAAATGATGCCTCGATTGTCTTGCAATTTTTAACTATTACATTTCCTGTTACCATAATCAGGATGAACCACTTTGGCTGTTCTTCTGCTGTGAACAGAGTAGCGCACAGTCGCTGCCACCCGACTGCGAAATTCTCACTTGCTTTCTAATTGGTTCTGCCTGACGCTTTGGCTGCCAATGTTTGCCAACATACATATTTCATTGAATTCAATTAGACAGCTATTGTGGTAGCTGCTGTAGCTGTTCTTTTGTGGTGCTTGGGTGGCTTGGCTTGCTCCTAACTAATCTGCTCACCTCATAGCCTCCTCACAGCTGGCAATTAAGGCGGCCATTGAGCCATTGGTCTTGCCACATGGAAGTTTGCATAGACACATTCTGTATATTAAGCAACATCTGCTTCGTTAAAAAATTAACATAATAATAATATGCAAGCCCTGCTCTGATACCCTGTACTAATGAAAGGGTATAATAGCCTTGTGGAAATGCATGTAACAGGGAGAGGAGGCTTGCACGACTCCAGAAGGAATATATGTACATTTCAGTATTCGATTCGATCTGCACATGTTCGTCGTTCTTCTCGCTATCCAACTTAAACACAATTATAATATGTTTTATTCCGGTTGCAGACTTAGGCTTTGGTATTTGCACACTTTTGAGTGCCATATAAATGCACTGAAAATTTCATAAAGATCGGACTATAAACACCGAAGTTAATCAGGACGCATTATCCATAGTATGGGCCTTATATGGGGCTGCGTGTCTATCTATCTAGTTAGAATGCTGTTTGGGACTCCAAATATTAGATGAAAATAAGTAGTAGAAGTCAAAATGAAGCATGAACTTGAATGGCTTTCAATATCCTATCCACTTAACAATTCCCCACATAAAGCTATATATATTTTCTTGAATTTTCATGTTGTTTCAACTTACGTTGGGTTGCAAAAGTAACATGCTTGTAGTCGCTTGGTTTTGAAGCCTCGTTTGGCTGCTTTTGGTGGTTGCTGCAGTTGTTGTTGTTGTTGCAGTTGGGGCAATTGTTGTTGCAGTCGCGGCTTCTGTTAGCTTGGTGTCTGTTTTTGGAGATCTTAGTGGAGTCCTCGGTGCTGCAACGTTCACACTTTCGGCTTTTGGGCTCTTGGATTTGCCCACTTTCGAGAAATGCTTGGAGCCTTGCTCCGTTGATTTTGTGGGCGGCGTTCTGCGCGACTCAGTTGCCGTTGTCTCTGCACCTGCAAGGATAATAGGGTGAACACCATTAGGACTTGACCTTTAATATGCCTCGCTGATAATTTGCAAATGCTAAGCGGTGTCTGGGGCATACTTTATTCTATAAGCGTGGCTGATGAGCTGATGGTCTGATGCCTGGCCATAAGATGTCACTGGCTCGAAAAAAAAAAAAAAAACAACACACAAGCATAAGATTCATGCGGCAGCAAGTCATTTTTAATAAAAATGGTTGCCCAATTGTTTTGCGTTCCACACGCAAACAACCGTATCGAATGTCTTAATTAGAAATGCTTATGCACCGCTCCTCAGTCGCCAACCGAGTCGCAAGAGTCGACTCTGCGGCTCTGGCTACCCTATGTGGACACCTCTGTGTGTCACGAGCAGGGAGCAGGGTGGAGGTCGGAGGTTGCCAAAAGCGAAGCTCACGTTGCAGCCAGGGCTGGGGGACTGAAGTCTGGCCGCAGCCAGCGCCAATACGAGGATCGCATCTCAATCTTGGTTAATGCTGCACATTAAATGTAATAAATTGTGCTGTCCGTCGACTGCGCTGACTTTGCGGGTGTTCGCTTTTGATTAAAATAAATATTATGGCCTGTTCGAATTGCAAAACGACACTTCGTTTCGTTTCGTTTCGTTTTGGTTTGGTTTGGTTTGGTTGTTTGCTGATTTTCATATTTGTTTCATAAAATCATTTTTCACAATTTGTATACTTTTATTTTGCTTAGCTAAATGTTTTTTTTTTTTTTGTAAAGCAGTTGAACAGATTTACTAATGGCGGAAGGGGGGGTTAACTTTAGAGCCAGATAAAAGTAATCGTACTCGATTACATTTGGTTCTCATATGAACCAGCGGGCATTACCCGGCTTTGCCAGGTTTTTCGTGTATATTTTTAAAAACAATATTTGAAACAAGTTTTAAATGAATTTATACAGGCATCAATGAAAGTGAGCATTAAGCCTGATCCCCAAAAGTTTCATATAGCCGATATCCACCAATTTTCCACAGGTGAAGGCGGAATTTCGCAAGACATTTATAAAATTGTCACATCTCGTTAATCTAGCTATCTAGGCGATTAGCTTCAAATATTTCTTAAATTATATATATGAAAGATACTTGATACCCTTTTTGGCCACTTTTAATGGCTGCAGGGTATACAAATATTTACAATTTGTATTTCTTTCTTGTAAATATCGTGTGCAAATATGTTATACAAATAATTTATTAGCATCGTCAAGTATTTTTGAGCATTGGATAGATTGAAAATATCTGGTAATTTGATTTAATTTGCGAAAATGCTTTTAGCAATTATATTTGATTTCTACAATTTTCTATTAAATTTATTTGGTTATTGTATAGCGAACGCAATCTTTTGCAAATCGATCAGACTGAAGAAACAATGCGCCACACTGGCAAAGATTTAAAATGGAAATAAAATATCATTGCTGTGCTGTTAGCATTAGCCCTGGGTCATTTAGAAAGCAATTGATCGATACCCTTTGAGCTGGCAACAAAATTCCGAAACAAAAACCCCAAAAACTACCGTGGGCTACCGTGAAAAAAGCTACCGGGAAGACCGTGCGATATTCATTTAATAATATAACAATGTGCCATTGTTTTTATTACCCATGGGCATAGCCGAACATATTTCTGGCTGCGAAGCCTAAGCTTTGGGTTGGGTCTCGCAGCCAGTTGCATCTTTAAATATTCACTAGACTAGATTTTTTTTTATTTTCTTTTCATAGATTCACTGTGCTGTATTTGGGATGTCGGCTTTTTTGGGAAGGCAACATAAACAATTTCTTAGTTGGGGTCCTTTATGTGCCATCAACAGCCGGCTAACAAATTTATTATAATGCTCTGCTGTTGGCTAGGCCCAAGTTTCGCCAGTTTTCTCGTGTCTTCTTCTCATTGCATAACCCGGCTAATTTTTTGTATTTTTTTTCTGTTTTTTTTTTTTTTTTATATAAGATTGTTAATACATATTATTTTGCAAGCAGCAGAGTCTCGTCTGCGAGTGTACTTTGAACTGCGAACTCTATTGCACGCTCTGCTCTGCCTGGCTGCTTGATCAATGGACATGGACATATGCATCTGCCGAAACTGACAGACAGACAGACACAGAGACGCAGAGACGCAGAGAGTCAGATACAGACAGGGACAGGGGCTAAGAGGAACTTGCGCAGTGACCCAAAGAAATGGTAATGCGTCGTGGCCGTTGTCGTTGCATGGTCGACGTCTTTGGCATGCCGCACGGGTCAGGCGGCTGGGTGACTCTGCCCGCTCCGTCCGCTCTGGCAGCTTCGTCCGCTTTGGCATTCAGTCATTGAGTCAGTGGGTGCAACGTTGGTTACGCGGACAGCGCAAAACGTTGCACCAGAAATCAGACGTCTCGGCCGCCTTGGGTATGGTTAGTTTCGTGTGAAGTTTTGTGAGAAGTATACAAATGGATTTCAGGTTTCGGGCCAAGGAGTTAGTCATTTTGTCAGACGCTGCCCATGCTGCTGCTGCTGCTGCGCTGCTGAGCTGCTGAGCTGCAGGTTTGGCAGGGGCATGGCGGAGGCGTCGATGCTATCGCCTTTGAAATCCACGACAACGGAGGCGGTTGCCCCAATAGACTCTCTGCCGTAGACCTGCGCCCAGGCCACAAACTTCCTGCAGTACCTTTGATGATGATGATGATGATGCCGTTCGTCTGCCCCATTGTTGGCCTGGGTACTTGTTTAGACTTTCACTATTAATTGTCGATTTTCATCGATGGCTTTTTGCTTCTCTTGTTGTTGTTGTTGTTGTTGTTGTTGTTGCTGGCTCTGATGCTGCACAAAATGTAATACTTAATGGGCAATGGGTAATGGGGTTGGTATTTAAAGTTGTGCAAAAAGACACAAACAAAACCCAATTTCTGTGAAACTCATATCGAAACTGTATCTATTACTCAATGCTCTCGAGTGAGAGACAATTTGATTGATTTATGCAATCGCGTTCGCCGTCTTATGCTACATTGTTTTCGTTCCAACTAATTGCCCGACTCGTCTTCAACTCCGCGTCTGCGGCTTGGCCCATTTGTGCCCCGATACAACTATTACAACATATTTTATTTGCTTCTCAGCATTTATCAGAAAATTCTAAGAGCAAATGCATCTATTTGATGCTGCGGTGTATGGTGTACAATTTGATAATCTAAAAATAATATCACTAACAGGCAGGAGGAGACATTTATTCGACCCCAACAAGCATAAGTATTCATATTCTTGATCAGCATCAGCAACAGCCGATCTCTAGCTCGATGTCAGAGAATATAAAGGCTAACCAACATTGGTAATATATATAGCCTTCATTTATATCTATGGACATGGGACGGTCTTGGGACAATCAATCAAAATGGACAGAAAGATGCATCTCCGATTCTTAATAGTCCTGTCCCTTGTCTATATGTTTATCTGAATAAACGTGCAGTAAAATATTAGTGTCTTTTACGGACTTGAGCGTCGGACTCTCAGGCGTGAGGTTGCCAGTTCAAATGCAGTTTTATGAATTTTGTATTAGTTACAAAGCAAAAGGCAATAGCAGTACATCAAAAAAGAAAAACAAACAGAGATATGAAAATGAATAAATATGAATGATAATAAATACAATTAATTTACTTGTTTTGTCAACTATAAAATTATAATTTATATGCCTTGACAGGGTTCACTTAGTCACACGGTGGGATAAGGCTCGCAGGGTGGGATAAGGCTCGAAGGGAAACAATTTATTTAAATAATTTGATTAAGGTTGGAACACATGTGTGTTTTAATAAATGAGACACAGGCAAAGAATGGAAATACATAAAAAAATAACAACATCAAGAATTATATTTAAAAAAATCAGAGCCACTTTTTGCCAAAATTAGAAACTTCTTAAAATAATAAAAATATTATGAATTTTATCAACTGAACTGAAGCAACTTTTGTTTAGGACAAAAATGATTTAATCACCGGCTCGATAGGGAAATATTTCATATTTTTATTGGCAGTAGTGAAAGTAAAAGAACTTCAAGCAGAAAGAAGCGCCATGAGTCAAAAAAAAAAACTTCCCAATTAAGTGAAACAAAATTGTCGCAACAATTCGTAAAAATGTCTTTGCGCCACTTTAAATACTAAGTAAACCACAAGACCAAGATCGAAGGCGACGATCGGCGACGGGCGACGGCGTCATCATTTTTTAATCGCTGCAAAAATGATCGAAGGCCATCTTGGACATTTCAGAGTGAGCCGGAGCCGGCCAATTGAGTGGATTGAAGTCATTTAATACGCGCGTGAGCGCATCTTAACCAGTTGGCCCATCCCCTTCTCGATTGGGCTCCCCTCTCGCCGGCAGATTGGCCAATACTTTGGCTTTGGCACTTGCCAGCGATGTACTCTGGAACTTGGCAGCAGCTGTTGCATTGGTCATCGTCGGCGTATACGTCGACCATTATGCAAAAGCGGATTCATAAAAATCAACTGCAAGCTGCGGCTTCGGCTGCGATTTGTTTCAGTTTCAAATTTGCATGAAATTCTAATAAAAGATTTACCGTTCAGTTGTTAGGTGCTTCTCGGGTGAGATGCAGCCTCTGTTTTTGGATTCTCAATCTGAAAAACTGGTTTAATTCAAATTGGCGTGTTATATCATTTGCGAATATGAGATTCACATGCGTGGCACTCGGATTTACCACGAACAACCAGTTCCAAGACCCAAACAAATATGTACTTTGTAGAATTAAATATAGAGCCGAAGCAATAGCTATTTAAATAATCTTTTGCGGTTAAATTTACATCACTGCTGTGAATAGTTCTTCCTTTATATATGATACTAGCGACATACCTAGAGCCTAGCTTATTTGTTCGCTTTTTTAATATGACTTTGTTTTTTTACACATTTCCTACCCGTAAGAGTCTTAAAACTGTTCAAATGGCAAAATGATGAAATTTAAAGCTTTGCAAAAGTGATTCAAGTCGAACATTTACCTTTTCTCACAGGTTAA